TGTTTGCCATCAGAAAGTCTGCCTTCCAGGATAAATACATATTAGTACAATGTGGCTGTGTGCCCAGATGTAACAGTAGCTTGTTTAATACTCAATTCAGGATCTCATGAAGAAGCCATAGATTGCACAGAAAATTCAAATAGAGCAAACCTTTCATTAACCTTGATGTTGGACAAGAAGCCACTGAATTTTCTTCCTTTGCAGACAGGAAACAGGCAGTGGTGCCAGACATACCCTTACCATTCTGTTTTATAGTGCCAAATCAAAGATTTTCATCAAGTTTCTGCAGGGCATTTATTGTCAGTGAATGGCTCAAATAGCATGGATAAACTTGCAATGCTCAAACTAACAAGGACATATGGCATAATTTCTATTGAGACAATGACTTCTCAGCTAAAGCACTTTACAGACTCATCAACCACAACTATAAATAATAATCCTTGCATTTGATATAGCACCTTATCATGTCTTCGAGACGTCTCAAAGTGTTTCACATAATATACTGCAAAGTGAATTGACTGTACATTTTGTGGGCGAAATGTGGCAACCAATTGTACAGCAGTGTCCCACAAACAGTTGTGGATTGAGTGACCAAATTATTATTTTTTTTTTGAAGGATTATTGCCCCTGGAAAAGTGAACGGCCAATTGACTAACAACTGGGTTCCTACTTACTGTTGGGTAAACTGAAGCGTGTGGACTAAACAAACTTATTGAACATTTTGCCCTCCTGGGAATCAAACCTAGGTTTTCTCATTTGAGAGGCAAATGTTCTAATCAACAAGCTACAGGACTCCACAACTAGTGTGATTACTTTCTAAATATCAGAATTACTTATGCTTTTTAATCACATTCAGCTGGGTTCTGGCTTCTTGGAGATGTAGATAGGAAAATTTACTTTTGAACACTCTTAGGTCATTTTTAGTGATAGTTCTGAAAAACATTTCTGGGTTCTTATCACAACTTGCAAACTGTTGTCACAATAGTCCCAAAAATTTCAATTTACTGTTATAGTCATACAAGTCAATCATTCTACATATACTCAAACTCGTAGAACTTGGTTTCTCCAAGTAATTACATTTTCAGAATTCACTATTAGGACAAGATGCTGGACAGTCAAAATATCTTTTCTTATTTGCAAGATAATTTGATTCCACAGGAGCAAACTACAGCTATTGATTTATCAGAATACATATGCATGACTTAATGAGGCAAAGGGTTATATATTTTTTCCATAACTTTGCAGCACCAGATTTATGAAACAATAAGAGAGGAAATACATACTAATATAAGGAGGACCTTTTTTACAAAGGGTTGTTAAGATGTGTATAATGCCTTGGCAGGATCAGTGGATAAGACAGGATCCATAATAGCTTTCAAGAGGGAGCTGGATAGATAGCCAAAAATGATTAGTTAACAGGGGTATGGGGAAAAAGCCAGATGAATAAGACTGAATGGATTGCTCTTCCAAAGAATCAACACAGACACACACACAATAGGTCAAATGTGCTGCAACGTTCCATGGCTTCATATCCATCAAAATACTTAATCATAATTATGATCATTAAATACTATTTTTCATGTCCAATAATCTTACTTGACTGTTTAAAACAATTCCTTTTTTTTTAAATACCTAAGAGATAGAATATGCTCCATTACTTGCTTTGAGCATTGTGCAACATCAATTTACACTTATATATAACATCTTTCACACAGGAGAACATTCCAAAGCAGTTTACATATGTTCAGCACAATATTCAATACTGATATTTTAACATCAGATTTTAAACCTCTAATGCTTAGAATAGAATTTTGAGCTAAAATAAATTATTTTATTGTCCTGATTATGTTGGGCAAAGCAAAACATCACATTTTGTACAGCTGAGTAAGATTTACTTACTTTGTTGGATCGAGAACATGAAAGGCATTTATTTCCAACTGGCACTTGCAGAAGAGAACTTGCCAATCCCATTCCAATTGGTATGAAATATTTGCTGAGCTGATGGAAAAACTACCCTTTTCACTCTGATATGTTGGTTATAGTCGAAAAGCAGACTCTTTATAGAGAAAGTCTTGGTGGATAACCTCCTAATTTAAGCAGCATGCATCACTTTGAAAATTGGCCTAGTCACATTTTTACTGGAAACAAAATGTGTGAAATGTATTGCAGGTACTGCTATCTAAAGGACTGAAAATTTTCAAAGCAAAGAAAACTAGCGTTTTCTGATACTTTGCCTGAAATTCTAGACTTTGAGAGATTGGTTTTAAACCAAAATGTCCGTAATAACTTGAATAGCCAGTCAGGTACACAGGAACTGATCACCCATTTTAGGTCTTCTATTTTAAGACTAGCATTTCACTACACAAGTTTTAGAAATCTAATTATGTGACTGTGACATTATTTATAATAATAATTTGATGTAGGGCTTTATCATGTTTTCGAGACGTCTCAAAGAGCTTCACAGAATATACTGCAAAGTGAATTGACTGTGTATTTTGTGGACAAAATGTGGCAGCCAATTGCGCACATCAATGTCTCACAAACAGTCGTGGATTGAGTGACCAAATTATTATAATTATTTAAAGTTTTTTGAACGGATTATTACCTCGGAAAAGCAATCCGTCAATCAACTAACAACCGGGTTTCTACTTACTGCTAGGTAATCAGAGGCATGTAGAGTAAGGAAACTTGCCTAATATTTCGCCCTGCCTGGGAATCAAACCCGGGTCCTCTCGCTTTTGACATGAGTGCTCCAGTGAATATACTACAGGACTCCACATTTTCTATGTGGAATCCATTTATTAGAACTCCATTTATCTATCTAAATTTGGTTAAACGCTGTCCTCTTAACCCCTGCCTCACAAATCAAAAAAAATGTGCTGAGAGTGCTGGGAGCCAAACCAAAGTTTGCTTTTGAAATTTCTTCAGATTCATACTTTCTGCTCCACATCGCATTGATCAGGGCTATAAAATTCTCCCATTTTTGTGTTTTGCATTTGCACTCAAACTCTAGTTTTTTTCAATATTGTATCGGTCAATACAATGGTTGGGCCCATTTTAACCAACCGTGGTCAACCAAGTCAGGTGTGATTTGTTTTTGCCTTATTTATTTTGATTGAGTGGAGTCAGGAGCATGCTATAGCTACAATTCTCACTGATGAAGCTTCTGTTTATAGACTATGTTTTGCTGTTGAATGCTGCCAAATCCACAGCAATTTGGTGCCAAACATGCAGTATGAAACCCCCTACTATTAGAGAATAGGTTGGCGTACTGCAAAAAATTACCAAGGGCATAAAATCAAGTACTTACAAATTTGTTTGTGGGAGAAATTATTAGTTGGAATACAATAACCAATATTTTCAACAGTGCTAAATAAATTTCGATATATTATTTATTTCTATTCAAACGGGTAAAATCCAGAAGGAAAAAAAGAGCGTACACGCTGCTTTTCCAGCTTCCAGGTTACATAAAGCTGGCATTGCAGTTGACAAAAGCAACCAAAACCTCAACAGGAATTTTCCCAGGAAGTCCAGCTTTAAAAAAGGTGATTAACACTTTCTAGGTTTAAACCACTTGGGTGTGATTTTCTCCATACCAAACTCCACTCCCCGAATGCCCCAGTCCTTGCCAGACTGCCCAGAGAGGATCGACTTCAAATCCCTCCACTCCTCTGCACCCCCCTACCTCTCTGACCTCCGCTCTTCTCACAAGTGCCCGTTGTCTTCGCTCCATCGGGTCTGGCTTCCTCCTTGTCCCCTGAATCCTCCGCTCCACCATTGGCCGCCGTGCTTTTAGCCACGATGCCCCGAGGCTCTGGAACTCCCTTCCTCACTCCCTTCGCCTCGCTCCCTCTCTTCGTATTTTCAGGTCTCGGCTAAAGATCTTTCTTTTCGACCGCGCCTTTGATCACCTTCTTCCCCCTCCCCCTGGCTCGGCCCCAGGATCCTTTATTGTGAAGCGCTCTGAGACGCTGTCCGGCGTAGAGCGTGCTATATAAATCCAAGTTGTTGTTGTTATTTAAATAATTTCTTACAGATAGTTAGTTAGTGTATACTGTATGCTATTGTAAGATTTATTTGCACCAAATGCACATTTTTATAGTACAGCAACCTGGTTCTAAAGTCAAGCTGTTTATTTTGCACATTTGGTGGCAAGTTTCCATGCTTTTGGCACATTCCACGAAAAACACTTGGTGCACAGTATAAACCCAGCATCTGATATACATTACCTAAAAGGTTTTAGTTGTTTCCTGAAGCTCTGGGTTCAATGTTATTTTTCTGTTCTGAAGCTTCTATTTAGTTGAAAATCACAGATCATGCACTAATTGTAAGTTTGCACTCTCAATTTCCATCCTACTTTTATTTTGTGGGAGCTGATAAGAATGATAATAATAATAATAATCCTTGCATTTGATATAGCGCTTTTCACGTCGGGAGGACGTCCCAAAGCACTTCACAGAATACACTGTAAAGTGAATTGACTGTATATTTGTGGGCGAACGCGGCAGCCAATTGCGCACAGCAATGTCCCACAAACAGTCGTAGATTGAAAATGACCAATTTATTATTGTTTTGGGTTTTTTGGAGGGATTATTATCAGGCGTGTGGAGTAAGGAAACTTGCCCAAGGTTTCGCCCTGCCTGGAATTGAACTCAGGTCTCTCGCTTGCAAGCGATTGCTCTAACCACTGAGCTACAGGACTCCACAATGATGAAGTTAATTAACATTTATTAAAAAAATCATTTGTGCGGAGATTTTACATGCATAGAGAAATCTTTCTGTGTTTAATAATAAAATAACAACAATGGGTTTAGCTGAGCTCCTAGGTGCAATTGTGATGGTCTAAAACCAATTTGGTTGAACCTACTATTAAGGTGTGCTCAGAATTCTCATTTGTTTGCTTCATGGTCTGATTTAACAATTTTATTTTGATAATACTATATATTAAAAAATTGCATTCACGCGCAAGGATAAATAACTTCATTTAATGCCACAAATTGTACTTTTTTAAAGATTTATTTCAACTATGTGTACAGTTACATGATGTACAGGTTGGTGTTAAAAATTACCAAAATTACATCCAAAGAGTTATCAAATAAATGGAATTGCATGAGTTATAATATTACAAGAAATCACATGGAACACTATGTAAAGAAAAGGTGATATTATGTATTGGATACGCCTTCACTGTATTCTTCTCACCTTGTAATAAAGATGTATGCAGGGAGACTACAGGTGAATCAGCCTTGAGATCCAAGTTGTGACAACTGAAGGATGGAAGAAGTAATAGTTACACATTAGTGGATGCAAATGATGCTGAAATTAACCTGGCAAGTTACCTGTTTATCCCCACTGTAAGCCTTCCACACATTCCTGCTTTCCTTTTTAGTCTTTTGTCAGGAGGGAGACAACAATGCATATGTGGGCAGACGGAAATAGGGTCCCTTGATGAACATTAATATTGATTTCTACACTGCACAGTAGGAGGAACAAATCCAGTAGAAGATATTTTTTAAATTTTTTTTTACCTCAACTGATGAATGAATAAGATAAACTATTATCATTTGATCCGAAGTAACATTTATTTCACATAGGGTAATGTGGATCCTTTATTGGCAGAAATTGAATTGATACTGGCTAAAATTATTTCACTCATAAGCTCTTTTAGTTAAGAAACAAGAATTTAACATATTTGTTTTGATCAGTTTCATGCTCGTTCTCAATGGGTAGATAAGAGCTAGCTGATGGGAGAGTACAATGGGGAGGTAATGTGTTGTGCATTGCTAGTACGAATTTGCTTGATATATGTTTTATATTCAGATCACATTGGTGAAAAGACTTTGTTCTAAAATACTGAACTGTTCAGCATTTGAAAAGGCAGGAATCGTGTCCTAGATTTACCCAGCAAATCTGTAATTGTCTTATTCCAGTATCAGTTCAATTCAGCAGGGCCTGTTGAAATCCAATTACCTGGCTGTATTGAAGGGACAATGGGGTGATATCTAATTCGCCATCACAGTGGTATCCTTGGTTAACTGGTAAAGATTGAGATCATATTATGTGGACAAGTTTGACATTTAACAGTCAATAGTCCTTTCCCGCATTAAATCTGGTAGGCAGGTACTTTACTTATCTTACTATTTGCTGCTCATGAAACTTATACATCCTCCTGACGTGAAAGGCGCTGTACAAATGTAATTTTGTTGGTGTTGTACAATTACAGTGCAACCTCCATTACTACGTGTGGTCTGGGACCATATACTTAGATCCTCTTAATAAAACAAAGTACCCTGCAGGGGAAGCAACATTGCTCTCCCTTGGTGTTTTTTGCATTTGTGTAATGTGTAAACAGCATGGGTAATGTCACTTTCAGCTCTTGTAAGTTATGGGCAAGAAGGGCCCTTGATACCCCACATCAACAACACATCTGTGCAGCGAAAGTAAAAACAGAGATGAAGCAAAAGTCAGCTATTATATAAGCACAGAAAGCTGGCTGATCTGTGAAAACTGGAGTGTCTTATAAATGCATCACTTTATATCAAGGACAAAAATCTCCTACATTTAAAAGTAAATGCAGAGCAAATAAAAAAGGAACAATGATGAGCGGTGTATCATACGCTCAGATAGCTAATATTTGCCCAATCTGGTATTTTCATGCATGTATTTGAGTAAACGACATGATATTATGCAGATTTTTGTATACTTTTGAGAAAAGTGACAGAATAAATGACTGTGCTTTGTTTGTTATGAGTGAATGTAGAACCATATTACTGTCTAATCTTTTATCCAGCACCATATGGTATCACTTACTAAATAAACAAAATACGGTACCTGTTTTAGGAACTGAGTGGCATTGAAAAGTTCACTGCAGCCATAGATCACATGTTTACCTGGTTTGTTCTATTAAAAAAAACAGAAGAAATTAATTTATTTCTCAGTCTCATAAAATGAAATTATAGCTGAAGTAGTTAGCAAACAAAAAGTTGCAACAGTGAGAAAAAGTTTTATTGATGATTGTTTTAGAATGTTTTATCACATTATTGATCCCAATAAATGACTCAATCATCTGGTGAAGACTATTAAAATGAATGATTTATCCACTATTCTCTATATTATCACTAAATACTGACCTTCTAGTCTATTCTGAGTAGGGTGTTAAAACTGAACTTCTGCACAGACTGCAAATTGTGCTTCAAATACTTAAATAAGCAGATCTTTGCAACACTGCATATGACAAGGTAATGAAATGCTCTTCCACACACATGCACATCCATGCTTTTAACAAAAGACGATTGAGACAAATGATAATTAAAAAGAAACTCAAAGCCACTAGCCATTATATAGCAACAGCAATAATTATAAATGTCCTAGCTAAAACACTGTTAGGTATATCATTGCGTTTCATACTACTGTGGTACAATCAATACTATAAATGGTTCTGGACAATATCATGGCATCATAATGCTATTTTGTACACTTATTGATAGACCTTCAATTCTATAACATTATCTCAGCTGTAGTGTTCCATTTTTAAGACTGTACATATCCCCAGGATTCTGAAATTACATTCATTAATTAGTTCTATTAAGATGTGCACTTTATACCCGAATAAGATAAAGACAATAATTTAAAAAAGACATTTGTTATGTTGAAACTGCAGAGAAATGCAACTGCAAGAGATCTCGCTCAATAACAATCATTTCCATCAAAGTTCAACATGTTCAGAAATTGCCGCATTTGTACAAGTTTAAATATACTGATCTTCCAGCATTATACGACTTCTCACCTTGGTGTAGTCAACAAGGTTCTGATATTCAATGTAATTTCCACCTCCAACAACAAAGACAATGGCCTGGAAAATGAACAGAACCTGAATCAATGATGTTTTGGAACACATCTATAACTGTGGAGTCCTGCAGCTTAGTGGCTAGAGCACTCGCCTTGCAAGTGAGAGGACCTGGGTTAGATTCCCAGGGAGAGTGAAACATTGGACAAGTTTTCTTATTCCACACACCTCTATTTACTTTGGTGTAAGAAATAACCCGATTGTTAGTCGATTGGCGGATCGCTTTTCTGGAGGTAATAATCCCTTCAAATTTGTTTTGAAGTTATAATTCGGTCACTCAATCCATAACTGTTTGTGCGACACTGCTGTGCGCAATTGACTGCCATGTCTCCCCCCAAAAATTTTACAGTCAATTCACTTTAAAATATATTCTGTGAAATGCTTTGAGACATCTACATCAAATGCAAGGATTATTATTGCACAAAAATCTCCTAAAGACCACTGGCTTTATTGATCAAAGCATTTTAAAATGACCAAATTTGTTTTAGTGAACTTTTTTCTTAATTTTTAAACACATTTTTTCATTCTTTGATTGTACTTTGCTCAACTGTTGTATTGTAATTATAGGAAAGACTAAGAGAACACTTGCTCTCAAATTAGACTGCTATAAATTAAACCAGGTTAATTAAATTGGAAATGAGCTCAGAAAACAGATTAATTGCAGCTCCAACCAGTAATCCCAGATCAGGTAAATGCATGTAAAGGACTTGTCAGTAAGCAATTTGGCCACCTGTTTCATTTGTCTGCTTAACCTAACAAACATACCCCTATTTCAGGTTCTTTGGAACAAGTTGCAAGCAGATTTTAAGAAAATAAACTCCACAAAAACAAGCAGTTTACTTCTAGGAGGGTTGATTTTTTATACAAGAATTTTCCTGCCCTGAAAATAAACTTGTAGTATTTTAATTCATTAACATTTGAATTACTTGCCTCTGTACATTTTATAATTTCAAAATATCAGTCAGGTTTGGATCGACTCATAATCCAAGTAAATCCCTCTACAGCAACCTACTTTCTCTTCTCAAGATATCAGAGGGAGTGGAATTGGTATTATAATTTGAACAAGAATTATAAAGCAAAATTGTGTGATTCTTCCTGTACACAAAATGTTGAGGGATCAGACAAGGATTTCTTCAACATGGAAGGGAGTCAAGAGACTGTTCAATGATCAGAAATTACTTTTCTGTAGCACTTATTTTCTCCCTTTCCATTATTTATAGTTTTCAAGCACCGTGAGAGGTGGTGGTAGGCAACTGCTTCTATCTCCCGAACAATGCTCTTCAGTTTTTGCCACGAGTGCAAGAATGGGATAGAAACATCAGTCCAAAACCACATCCTGTGTTTGAGATTCAATGTGTTACGCCTCTGTGACTGCTTAAATGTTCGAAACAATTTGTATTTTATGTGTGACATCTGTACCAGTGAATTACAGATTTCATGCATGACTGGAATATTCAAGTTATTACGCTGACATTAAAGCAACAAGAACAAGAAACATTTGTAGAGTGCATTTGTAGCTCTGATTGTTCACATGGCCTCAAGATTTTGTTCTTTCATTGCCTTTTGGTGGTTCTTATAAAGGGATTGAAATGTTAAACATTGTAGATAGTAGTTTCATACGTTTGCAACATCATTTTTATTTTATTAGTATGAAATATTAAAACATCATCACTCCAAGTTCCGGGCTCTTAAATGTAAGCCTTCCTAATCCTAATGCTATGGGCATGTCTATGCTAAAACAATGATAGCAGGATCAGTAAGAGGTGTATAAGAATATCTCAAGGTGATTCGCCCACTTATTTATGCTTTTGATCTGCAGGAAACCACTTCTTCCAGACGGAATGGCCAATATTAGGGACTCACCAAGTGGGAATCACAAATCTGTGACAAATTACTCTTATTAACCAAATCCTCATTCTCACATTATCCTTGGCCTCACATTTAAATCTCTCCAAGGCATTGCACACTTACCTCTGCAACCTCCCGTGACTCTACTGCTTCCTTTGCTCGTGACGTTAGCCTGCTTCATGTCCCTTGCCTTATTTTGCCCCACCATTGGAGGGCGAACTTTCAGCCATTCTTCTCAGCTTTCTCACTTTCAAAGCCTCTGAACACTTTTTCAATCAGTTCCCGTTCCCCCCCAACCCTAGCTCAGGTGACCAGTCAGCTGTGGAAAGTGCTTTGAAATGTCTACCTGACATAAAATCCTTTATATAAATTGTACTGTATAATACAGTATGGCAACTGAGCAGTATACACCAATTATAATTTTTTTAATACATTGTTGATAAAGATTGATGGGACTTTAAAACATACACATAAAAGTGTTTTTGCAAATAGTGACTTTAAGAAAAATTGGCCATTGTTCATTTGCTATTATAGTTATGAAGACAACCCAACAACATTTGCTTACAGCTATGAAATAATCAACGACTTTTCATAAAGTTGTTTATCATGTATGGGGATTCTGAGGATTCAAGTTTTAATACTTTCAATGTGGATCACATAGTTTGACTTTGGCAGCTCAAAAATGGTTCTCTAATTTCCGTAATGCCTGTCATATCATAGCTAAATAAGATAATCTGCAAAAATGCTACAGTATTTTAAAAACCCTTCTTACCTCTTGGAATGGATTCTTGCTTCTTGGAACTGTGCTACAAAATGAAGTAAAAATATTATTGACAGACGTAGTTTTAATGCCAAAATGCTCTCATTACCATGAAATCCCTGGACTGAAAATGTAGGAAAACAAATATGACACGGTAACTTTTTGGATCCGTACACTTTCTTCTCGATTCTTGAATATTTCATATGGATGGACTATGTGGGCTAAATAATGAGCAAATTAATTTGCACTTCACTGTCAGACATTAAGAGTCATACAGCAGCACAAGACCTCTTGGGTTTTAAGAGAATTGACTGTTCATAATCTAATCTGACTATGGGATTACAATATGTTGCATTTATATTGAAAGTGTTTATTCTCTATAAAAAGAGCAATTCTAAAATAATAAATAACATGGTTCTATAACTGTATATAAGCATAGAAATCACAGAGGCTCTGGCCACAGTCTTTCAATCCTCCTTAGACACCGGGGTGGTGCCAGAGGATTGGAGTGTTGCAAATGTTACTCCCCTGTACAAAAAGGGACAGAAGGATAAACCCCGGAACTACAGGCCAGTCGGCCTAACGTCAGTGGTGGGGAAACTTCCAGAGACTATAACCCGGGACAAAATAAATTTTCACTTAGAAGAACATGGGTTAATAAAGGATAGCCAACATGGATTTGTTAAAGGCAAATCGTCTCTTACAAGAGCTTTTGGATGAAGTAACGGAAAGAGTGGATGAAGGTAGTGCAGTTGATGTAGTTTATATGGATTTTCATAAATGATAAGAAACTTATCTCTTTTGAAAACATAAGAGACTTGTAAGCAAGTAAAACTCCAACTGTACCTCATTGCACAATCTGGGGTTAACAATCGCGCTAGAAAAGCAGGATGCATCCCTCTCGGGAGAGTAAGCACTCCGTACGAGTCAAATGAAAATCAGGCATATGTGAAACCCTCAGTATTTTGGTTTGCAGTCTTAAGCATGATGGTGGATTTGTGTGCAGTATGTGTGCTATGTGTGTGCTTGTGCACGTGTGTGGACACCTAGCTGACCAAAAATATTTAATTAATTGTTGAGCTATTTCTCCAAGCCAATTTTCCATTTAACAACAAAAAAGGAACAAGAATGGGTAAAACATTTAAAATTAATTATAATGTTTAGTAACTGATTATTATAACAGTTGCTAATCACACTTTAAGCGGTTATAATGAATATTGTGAAAATTAGCATTAGTCAGACAGCATTTCCAACTCACATTCTAAAATAGGTAGTATTTGTGCTAGAGAACTTGATATTTAACATTTTTAATTTAGCTCCTGATAGCATAATTCTCTTGATGCATAAGATCTATTATAAGATCTTATATTTATGCCTTTAGATTCCATATACGTTCGTCTCGTGCGGCGTTCCTCAGGGCTCCGTCCTTGGTCCCCTCCTCTTCAACATCTATATGCTCCCTCTTGGTGACAGCATCCGCAGACATGGGGTCAACTTCCACATGTATGAGGATGACACCCAACTCTACCTCTTTGTCTCCACCCTTGACTCCAGGACCACTGCTGCCCTCACAGAATGTCTGTCAGACATCAAGTTCTGGATGAGAGCTAACTTTCTTCAGTTGAACGTCAACCGAGGCCCTCCTGATTGGCTCCCGTCAGCGCCTCCTCACCTTAGGCACTGACAGCATCACCATCCATGGCTGCACACTCCACCTTGCTAAGCTGGTCCGGAACCTTGTGGTCTTGTTTGACCTCAACTATCCTTTCTACTCCACACCTGTGCTATGATCCACTCTGCCTTCCCCCACCTCTGCAATGTCGCCCGGCACCGCCACTGTCTCACACCGCAGGCCGCCGAAACCCTCATACATGCTTTCATTACATCTAGGCTCGACTATGCAAACTCACTGCTTGTTGGCCTCCCCAACTCCTCCCTCCATAGGCTACAGATCATCCAGAACTCTGCAGCCCGTGTCCTCTCCCGCACTAGGCTCTGCTGCCCTATCACCCCCATCCTTGCCCAATTCCACTGGCTTCCGAACACACAGAGGATATAGTTCAAGACCTGTAGCTCAGTGGTTAGAGCACTCGCCTTGCATGCGAGACACCTGGGTTCAATTCCAGGCAGGGCGAAACCTTGGGCAAGTTTCCTTACTCCACACGTCTAATAATAATCCCTCCAAAAACAAAAACAATAATAAATTGGTCACGTTCAATCCACGACTGTTTGTGGGACACTGCTGTGCGCAATTGGCTGCTGCGTTTCGCCCACAAATTTAGTCAATTCACTTTACAGTCTATTCTGTGAAGCACTTTGAGACGTTGAGAAGACGTAAAAAAAAGCGCTATATCAAATGCAAGGATTATTATATTATTATATAAGATCCTGGTCCTCACCTTCAAAGCCCTCCACGGTCTTGCTCCCCCCTACCTCTGCGACCTCCTAACCCCCTACCATCCTGCTCACTCCCTCCACTCAGCGGGCTCCAGCCTGCTTCACATACCCCGATTCGCTCGCCCCATTATTGGTGGGCATGCCTTCCACACTCTGTCCCCACCTTCTGGAACTCCATTCCGCGGTCCCTCCACCCTCCCCGACCCCCAGCTCGGTTCCCTAACTCTGTCTGTCCAGCACCTTGGGATGTCCTCTCGACATGAAAGGCCCTGTACAAATGTAATTTTGTTGTTGTTGTTAGAGAAGCAAATGCTCAACTTACCTCTCACTACCACGAAGCATCTTTGGATCAAAATACCTGTAGTCATCAGTTTCCTACAGAAAAATGGACATTACATTTTTACTACAAAGGTAAAGTTAGTTTGTGAAAGGAAAAATAATTAATTCATAATCCCAAATGCTCAGTAAAGGATACATTCAGAAAAACATTTAGTGATCTACAATGTGGTTTAATGTCACTAGTGACTATATATATAAAATATTGCACAACCACTTCAGCAAAACAAACAAGACAATCCTCCCTCAAGTTGATTTGAGTGGTTGATAGCTGAAAATGTTCTTATTTACTTCATTATGTGAACTTAATGTAGGGGTTTAAGGCTAATACAAAAAAGTGCAACAATCTTAATTATGCACTAACTTTTAAATTTTAACTAACCCTAAATTAGTGTAATACTGAAAAAAATGATTTTTCTTCAAATTAAAAATCTACTGAAGCATGATACAATCACGTAGAAAGAAAAATGAACACATACTGTGCAGTGACTCAATTGCTCAGTTACATAAATCATCCCACAGATGGCAGGCTCAGTTACCCATCACTAAGTTATTCGTTACACATCTATCTCAAAAATGTTTTTCTAGCTGCATCTGGTGCCAAAAATGGAAGCATTAATCAAAACCTCTTCCAATTCATAAGTTAGCTTACCATATTCTTCATCCAATTATTTGCTGCATATTAAATGTGGTAATTGGAATTCAGTGCAGCAATTGCTATAAAGTAGATGTTTACTTTCAAAGTATTTTCAAGCTAATTTCAGATTACCACATGGAACACAGAAGCCCCTAGGAAACTTGGTTCCAGGCCTCTGCCAAGATTGATGTCAATGGCCCAGTGAGACTTGCTTTTAATATTTCCTCCAAGTAAGAAATCTCTTGCTGATGACACACCCACGATGGGGCTGTTCTGGTGGGGAAATAGTAGGATTTATCAGCACCATGGGACATCATCCTGAAGTGAAAAGCGCTATATAAATACAATTTGTTCTAGTTGTCCCACAATGCATTGATAAGCCACTGTGGTGGTAGTTTAGTTTGTAACATCAGACACAAAAATCAACCTGAGAGTTTAAATGCTTGTTTCATGTAGTGATTTATTGGGGATTTCTGTACAATTTAATATCAGTTGTAACTTGCACCTGCTCAGGCATAAATGACACTAGTAATATCATTGGTCAGGCAAATAAAATTAATCATGGATGATTATTCTACATGCTCGTTTTGAAAGAGATGATGTAATTGTTTCACATTTCCTGAACCATCGTTTCAATACAAAGTGAAAACGTGCAGAGAATTCTTGGTACCTCTCACCCACCTAGTGAGGGCTCAAACCAAGGGGTGTAGCCATGGGTGGGCCACAGCCAATTAGCACGGAGGCCCACCAGTCGCTGAGACAGCACAGGGAGCGAAGGGAAGAGAGCTGGATCAGGAGGTACTGAGAGGGTTCGCTAGGAATGGAAATTTGGTCATTTCCCATCCAACAAAAATTGGTGCTCACGCATTTCTAGCTACGCCACTGGCTCAAACCCACGATTGCTGGATGTCAAATGACCAACTCGTGACTATCCTCTTTGGAGGGGATGTATGTGGAGTCTCCTTGGAACTGAACTGGCTTCAAGGTGGCATGCTTGGCAATGAATTGTTGTAAGTCAACGCTCTGCGGTGATCTCGGTAGCCTGGTTCCTGAGGCTACTAACCTTGCAAGCCAAAGCCACAATGGGTAGGGTGGTCAAACCTGAATAAGGAGCAGGAAAGCTTGCCTGACAGTGCTTTCGACAGCAAGCCATGTGACTTTAGCTGGTTAGACTCCAGCAGTACCCCAATACACATTCTGAGGTTCCCAAGCCTTGGGTCTTACCAACCTGTCTCATACCCTCCGGAATTATATAAGCAGGATGTATCCCTCCAAGGAAAGAGTGAGTGTTCCATTCCAATATGTAGATAGGATGCATAGAACTCTGTTTGGTTTGTATACCCCTAAGCATGGTGATGGGTTTCCACATATGTCAGACACACTGCTGACCAACCCCTCTCCTCATGTTCAATAGGAAATGGAATCATATCTGTAATTCCTCAAATAATGAGTTGCTGATCTTAACTAAGCCCATTATGGGAAATGCTGAACAGAGATACAATCCTTTCAAACCAGGTGAAGGAAAATCAGCAAATGAGTCACAGCACAGTATTGCTCTAAAGGTCCTATGAATGCCATTGGCTAAAGAAGGAGTACTTTATTTGCTACTACCTTGTCTGGGAAACAGCAAGACAGAAAAAGGGTATGAAGAGGGAAAACTGAAAATGATTTGCCAATAAATAGCACCACCACCAACAAAAACTTATACAACATTTATATAGTGCTCTTCACACCGGGGAGGGTTTCAGAGTGAAAAGAAAGATCACTGAAGTTACACAAATATAAGAAAAAGTATTATATGTATAGTCTGTTATAATAAATTTAGGATTTATTTCAAGCATTATACAACAGGCCCCAAATGTCGTGCAGAATTGTGACAAGCAAAACATATTGTGCTGCCAGATTAAGACTCTGGAGCATGGTAAACTGATAAGATCAGGATATTAAGTCAGAAATTTAATGTCATTTTGACAGACACGCAAATGGCACTGTAAACTGAAACTCTATGGAAAGTAAAACAGCATCGGCTTTACTCAAATGGCTGTATTAAGTAAACATACTATTGAAAGCAGGTGCACTAATTCCTGTTGGCATTGGTGATGTATCCTGTAACAATTCAAGAACTGATTTGATTAACCCCCAAATCTTGGGAATGAGCATTTAAAATTGGCCAATTGAGGAATGGTTCCAGTTTATAAACAAAAGAAAGAAATGCTCTCTCTTTTGGTTCTCATCTTTTGCCAATTCACCAAGTTGGGAATATTGAAAGAGAGGATGTTAAACTTGCCTGCACTCTTTCAGTTTAGAAATATGCTATTTTGGCTTGCAACATCTACTGCAGTTGGTCTCCAGAAGATAACATTGGACAGTCATAAAATGTAAACACTAAACAGAAGCCATCTTTTTTCAATTTAAAAATAAACCTTTTTTAAAGTTTCGGAATAATTATCTAGTCTTCCAATGCAATTACAAAAGTTCAACAATGACTCATTTCTTACCAGTATAAACAAACACACAATGGATTTTTGCAATTTCAAGTTGAAGCTTGAACCTAAAAGTTGACCCCATTTTGTGACTTAATCTTATATACATATAAAGTATACCACAATCTGAAAAAAAATTCCTATTTGAGCCAGGCTACCCTAATGATTCAGTTGTTAAATGCTTGAGCATTTAATCTGAGCAAGCCATTGTATGCAGACAATAAAGCAACTGTGCTAATCTTAAAACTGATCTCTGGAAGGATAACTTCAACTATCCAGGTGACTCTCTGAAGCATAAAAGTTCCTTAGTAAAGTTCCAGTCCTACAAACATTGATACGTACAACGGCAGATAATTACACCTTCCCAAAAAAAACAATCAAAAATAATTCAGGTGAACAAGTGTGTGAAGTAAGCATTCTCTCTGGAGACCAACATTCAAATTGGGTGTTTACATAAGCATTTCCAGATACAGAGTCACTGTGGTCTTATTAGATTTAAATGCAACCTATTGTTGTGACATGTTAGTTTTTGGAATTAAAGCTTACTTTCAAATTTCTGTGGAATTAGACCAGGATTTACCTCTCCCCCCACGCCCTTCATTCTTGGAAAATGAACTTATGAACAATCAAAACACACATCACTCCAACATTTGGTGCATATTAATAACCACAGTAATCAATGACTGTAACAAAGAATATCCTTTAACTAATACAAATTTAATCTAATACTTTTGAGATTGTACATAATATAAACACTTGATATATTAGAATCAAGGAACATGTTCACTGTATGCCTTTCTGGAGTTCCCCAATAAGTGATAGTATTGCTCGCAAAACATATTTACATTAAATTACCCTGTTCATTTGTTTGTCAACATTTTATAACTTTGGGGAATGCAGCTGAAATCATTATGAAGAAAGCTTGTGTGAAAACTGGCAATCTTAAAAAAAACATGTGCTGTGTATGAAATTGTTCACAACTAGCACTGGGGCTTGTACTCACAGGATTGGATTTCATCTCTATTAGGTTGTCCAAAACACGCGTCACTGGTAGATTCTGCAAAGGAGTTTATCAGGAATTAGTCCAGAATAATCAGATGTGAAGAAAGACCAGGAATGAAGTATCCATCAAGTTAGTGTCCTTGCATGTGTCCTTTAGTTTATCTCAAATGAGATGTTGATTGACAAGATAGTCCGTAATCTTTATAATTTTATAATAACCCTCCCTTGCCTCCTTTCAATACCCTCTTGAAGACCTCCTTTTCCGACCTTTTGTCGATTTCCCTTCTCCACCACCCTGGCCCTCTACCATTATCTCTCTGATGCCAACAGCAAACTAGGTCAGACTTACTTTCTTTCTTTATGAGCAACTCAGGTCAATGTCATTTGAATGCAAATAAAATAAATAGGTAGTAAGAACAAGCAGAATAAATAAATTCAAGGTCCAGATTAAAATAAGGTGCTTGATCTATCTCCTGCAGTTCATGATGCTACATGAACTCCATATATAAGATGGCTTCCTAGGAACCAATCTCTTCCAGCCATTCTTGAATCATTAATATCATTTATTTCAACGGAAACTGACATACTTTTTCAAAATCATTTTCCTTTCTGCTACAGCAATGTCGTGAAATGAAATATTTCAAAACACACTTGATTTTTAAAATAAGCTGTGGGAATTTTACACCACAGTACTCAGAATTTCCCTACAGGGTTTATGCAACAGAATAAATAAATCTGGATCACATAACTGCTTAAACTATTACAAATTTCAGATTTAAAGAAATGCTACAGTCAATGGTTTTCAATTTTATTTTTAAATATTAACTTAATTGTACTAATTTATTGTATGGACGCATACAAATCTACAGACATAAAAATGCAATGTGCACAACACAAAATGATTTGATCAAGAAGACTGCAATAAAGTTGAAATTTAACAAAATGTCTTTTTGCAAGAGCACTCCTACTGGATTGGATAACAGTTGGACATTATCCTCATTTACCATTACAGCAATTGGCCCAAATTCATCAGAACCGAAATTGGACCATTTATAATAATTGCATTTCCTGAATGAGCATTCAATTAATCAGATATATACAAAGCATATTGGATACCTAACAACTGGATAAACAGGAAAATAGACTGAATGGATAATAAAATATGCTCTCAATTACCAAATGAGATTGGAGATTTCGCATATTATGGAGTACTCATCGAGTCCAAAACATCCAAATCATTTCCAGCAACATTCTAAACCAACCTTTGATATTTCAATCAGAACATAGCAGATAAAAAGGCAAATAATACCTGTTGACAGAAATTTTCAACATGATGAAACCAATATGATATAACCTTCCAGAGATTTCCTGAATATTTCATCCTTTGTTACAAAAACTACCAGCAAGTCATTTTACTCATGCCAAAAGTAGTCATGCTGCTAAATCTTATACCAGTGGTTTCACGCTGTGTCAATACCAATGATATGCTCAATTGAATTAAGCAACTGCCACCAAAGATATTTTTGTTTCTGCTAAAAAAAACAATCATATAAAAGAAAAATCAATAGAAGTGTCACAGTGTCATTTAATTAACTCCAGTGAGATTGATAGAATGTGTGTGTCATGTATCAATAAATATCAGATTTTTCTTATGGAGTTTTTTTTTTCTTTTTCCTATCCTAAACACACTGAAGTACAGGAGGAGCTACTTTATGGTGACTTACTTAATTAGTCATACTTCATGCGGGATCTTAGACAATATTGCACAGTGCATTGGAAGTGATATCAGTGGCGACCTATGGTCCCAGAAGTTGGCCATTTTAGCTTCCTGTGTGACAACAGTGTGGAGTCCTGTAGCTCAGTGGTTAGAGCACTCGCTTTGCAAGCGAGAGATCTGAGTTCAATTCCAGGCAGGGCGAAACCTTGGGCAAGTTTCCTTACTCCACACGCCTAATAATAATCCCTCCCAAACCAAAAACAATAATAAATTGGTCATTTTCAATCTACGACTCTTTGTGGGACATTGCTGTGCGCAATCGGCTGCCGCGTTCGCCCACAAATATACAGTCAATTCACTTTACAGTCTATTCTGTGAAGCGCTTTGGGATGTCCTTCCGACGTGAAAAGCGCTATATCAAATGCAAGGATTATTATTATTATTAAGGATTATTATTATTATAACCGTCATAGGTGCCCATAGAGCCAGAAAGCACATTTTCGATTTTTATTCCCAAAGTTTCACATCCCAATTGGGTGCTACAAAGGAAACCATATTATAACGAAGCAGATTATAAAATGTCTTAATGAAGCACATTATAACATGTTGTAATGTCCTATTTATATTGCGGTGACCAGAACTGCATACAGTATTCCAAGTGTGGTCATACCAATGATTAATACAGTGGCAGGAATACCCCACTATTTCGGCTCAATATTGCCATTTTAATACAGCCCAATCTTACGCTAAAATATTTACTCTTAACTTCAATCCAGAATGAATTAATTTCATTATTAAATTCCTGGGTTACAATCAGGATTTATAGTCCAAATTCATTACTTATCTATTTAATGTTACTTTGTGGTTTTGTTTAATGCATTACATAGTAGTAAAAAAGCGCATTGTTTTTAAGAATTTACTGTATATAAATGACCTCAATGCAACTACTTGCCTCTCCCATCCAACAACAAATATAGGCTTAAAGGCCAAGTGCAAAATGGCTTTAATTCAAATACATCTAGAAACAGTAAAAGGTTCCTTTTGAATACTGCCAAAAATACTTTATTTGTATGCTAACTTGATGGAGTGAAACATTAACAAAAATAGACTGCCTTAAGTCTTCTGTTCAATGAAGGCATGTGAAGTCATAATACAGCAAGAGAAGTTGCTGTAATCAGCTACAAAATTAATCTTCCTGAAGCTGGATCCCGATCACCTTTAAGACAAACTGTTCGCATCCCTCGACAAATAGAAATGGTCCTCAAAGCAAATAAAATACCTTTATGGTAAATCTGGGGTTTCTAAAGCATTTTGTACTGTCTATTCCTTTTTACACATTGAATTCTATAGCAAGATGCCTGTATCAAGAAAGAAAGTTGCTGTCTGCATCCCTCACATTGGGTTAGGCGTTATATAACTTTATTATAAAGAGTTGCTGTAGTAAACTACAAGGATATCAGTGTTTAATTCCTCTTTGGTTTTATGCTGCCAATAGTTATTTCAATAAAACTTTCCACAGATTTAGCAGTACTGGCAGAAGACTACATATTTCAAATCAAGTGAGACCATGTCTGTATTTATAATGTGTGAAGTAATAATAACAACATGATTTCATTTTTGGGGAACAAAAGGTGCTTTTAATTGATACATTTCAAATTTTCAACAATTTCATTTAATACCTTAAACACTTTAAAATAATATCTGGTAGGATCATTTTCTCCCTTCAATTAATTTAATCTTAGACACCTCAAACCCTATGATTGGTTTCCTCTTCAATTCTATTTTTCTTGCAAAACTAATGTTGCTTTTAATTTCTAATACTGGAAAATACTAAGCAGCCAACCCCCTTCCCCCTCAAAAGTCAATTTACTTTTCTCATTGATACAATTTGTTCTCCATTGACTTCCAATCCTTGCTTCTTTAAATTATCCTAAACAACTATTAAAAACATATGTACTTATCCCTTTACACAAATTATTCTCAGATAAGATCCTGAATGAGTCTAGGATATTAGGGAGTTTTGCATTAACTTCAATAAGTATCCCAAATGACTTGTTGAGATTTTCTATATAAGCTGAAGCTTTGCAGGGGTGGGCAACAAAGCAAAAAATTAATGGGAGTGTCTAGTGTATTACCGCTGCACTGTATCAGAGTGGAAAAATTATCACACCAATGATTTCCCCACCAGACGCCCTTCCTAATCTTGGCTAGAAAGTAAAGGGGAGGTGGCATGCAGAAGCTAGGAAACTTCTCCACAGGAAAGGAGTGGAAAATGATGGGGAAAAAAGGCTACCTTAGGCCATTCTGGCAGTTGGTTCAAGAGACTTAGACGTCTGGGAGCAAGACTTGGCCAGCTCCGCCAAAGCAGGAGGTAGTGTAAGAGAGGGCAAAAGTTATTCAAATATAACTTAATAGGTAGGCTTTGTACAGGATAAGTTTATACTGCTGGTTTTTGGATGCAGAAGATATGCTAATATAAACATCAGAGCAGACTATTTTTTTCTAGTCTTGTTACTTAACAGGATAGGAAAAGAGAAGCTATTCAGATCAATGGAGCCAGGGAAAAGGCAAACGGGGTATGAAATTATCATATAAGGGTGAAGAAACATCAATTTTTCCTATGAAAAAGGGGTCCTCTTACTCAATCCAATCAAAAGTTTGTTTGCATCTAACTGATTAATAACTGATGCAGTGTCTAACAGACTTTAGAGCACTTTGTGTTGGTGGCAGGAAATCAACACCATGTTTTTTCGTATATAATTTTATGTGTGCCCCAAGAGCCCCAAGTTTGTGGGACAAGAGTTTGCAAAACTCTACTAGATATTCATCCATTGCGCCATTCATACTCCCCAAATCTCTTTGCCAGATTAAGTTCTCATGATGTCTGAAGCACCTCTTCTAGAATTCAGCCATCGAATGACGTTAAAATAATTACTTTAAAATGAGCATAATAGTCATTAAAAATATTAATTCCCCTCTCCCTCCTTTGGACACTGCTTGTTTTTATCCTGCATTTCAACAATAAGTAAATGATAATATCAATACTTGTATTTGATATAATGCCCTATTTTATCACTGAGATGTTTCAAAGCATCTCATACAATGACAGTGTATTTTGTGGACAAAATGTAGCAGCCAATTTGTGCACGGCAATATCCCATCAACAGCCAAAGAGCGAGTGAGCAAATTTATTTCTGGGATTGTTGGCCAGGTCACTGGGAGTATTTATTTTTTGAACACTGTCATGGAATCATTAAAATCCACTTGAACAGGGAAACAGAACCTCGGTTTAACATCTCATCTGAAAAACGGGATATAATGATGCTTAATGTTTGTTAAAAAATTATACTAAAGATGCTTTCCAGAGTTGCTTTAAAAATCTAAATCAAGTGAGAGGTATTAATTTAAAATACAGAAGAGAAAAGGAAGAGCATTCCTCTGTGGAAGAACTAGAAATAAATGTCTGTTCTATGTTCCTCTGAATTGATTCCAGCAGGCGGAAACTGATAGGATCATATTTACACAGATGTGCTCAGTTATTCTACTAGCCAAGGTCATTTATTATTTCAAAGATATGATAACTACCAATGATTAATGTGGTAACAAATGAAATGCAACAGATCACAGAGGTAATATTGTAATAATGATAATCTTTGCATTTTGAACAGCGCCTTTATGTTGGGAGGACATCTCAAAGCACTTCACAGGATTTTAGTGTAAAGTATGTATTTTACTCTGTATTTTGCAGATAGATCACTAAGTCTAAAACAAATAATTATCTATCATTTAGTCTTCTTCATTCTTATAATATTCATGTTTTGCATACTGCTGGAGTGGTTTATGACACCCTTTTATTATGATTGACACAAGGGCCACACAGTTGTCACCAAGGAAAAGTAAAGGTAATGCTTATGATTCATATTTGAACCAAATTTTGTTTTTTAAAAAAAATGAGCCAATAGGAAGTATTTTCAAAAAATAACATTGGTTATTTAACCACTTCTAAAAATTTCAGCAGTCTATTGAAAATTTCTTATGTTAGCCAATCTAAAGGCTTGAACTTTCAGCAAGTGAATACTTAGAGGCCAATATTAATATTATGACCCAAGTGGATTAATCTGGGGTAGGAAATCCAACATCAATCACTGACACACTCTCTGAAATAACTTGCGACTGCAAACACTATGGACCACACACACTCTTTTAGAGACCTAGGAACATATAAATTCCCTGTGGAATGTTTCTGTTCTTCACCTCCCCTCTGGATTACTCAAACTCACTCTTCGCCGGTCTCCCCAGCTCCACTATTCAAAAAATCCAGCTCATTCAAAACACTGCTGGCTCCATACTTACCCGGACCAAACTCCCATCTCACCCATATCCCCATCTCACCATTTCTGGCCAGGCTCCACTGGCTCCCCATCACCCAATGGATCGACTTCAAAATCCTCAAACTTATGTTCAAATCCATTCACTCCTTGGCACCTCCCTACCTCCTCAATCCCCAATCCACCACCCAGTGCCTCCGCTCCACTGGCACCAGCCTCATGCTTGTCCCTTGCACCCTCCGTTTCACCATTGGAGGTCGCGCTTTCAGTCACTATGCCCCGAAACTGTGGAACACTCTCCCTCAAGCCCTCTGCCTTGCCCCTCTCTCCCCTTCTTCAAGGGGAGAGAGGGGCAAGATCTGAAGACCTTCCTTTTCGATGATTATTACGGTCATCTCTCCCCCCATCTCGGAATCAGGCTCTGCCATTGTTAAGTGGTGAAACGCTACCCTGCGTGGAGGGCGCTATATAAGTGCAAGTTGTTGTTGTTCTTCCCAGGCTCCACTGGCTCCCTATTATAGAATGGATCACTTCAAGATCCTCTACTCGTTTACAAATTGCTTCATGCCCTGGCTCTCCACATCACCGACCTTCTGACTCCGCACTCCACTACTTGCTCGCTTCGGCTTCCTGTACATCGCTCGTTAGGCGGTTGAGGAGATCAGAACCCGTAGGACAGAAGACGTTGATGGGAGCCGAGGAGTATCCAAAATGAACTGAATGCATGTGGATTACTTACATCTACTCATTTAGTGCAATTTTGCCACTGGGATCTACTTGCATAGTAAGAAAATTACCTTCACATCCCATTAAGGAAGTTTAATTTCATCACATATTTGTATCTGGTGGGAAAGTAAGATGGTATTCAAATTTACTACGTTCAATGAAACTAACCTAGCGTAACCGAGGTCCAAAGTAATTCAGCTGGGACTTGTTCCATTCAATAAATAGACAAGGAATCTGCTTGGATAGACAGAAGTCTCCTGATTTGGAACCTGCTTATACCAAATGTTTCGTAGCATATGCATAAATATTGGATAAATATTATATCATATGCCTTGTGCAAGGTTTCTGGATCTGCATCACCTTTCATACTATTGCACAAGCAGTCCCCAACCTGGGCATCAACATAATTCCACAGGTTTTGTAACTTTGCATTCCTAAAGCAATCAGTGTGTCAACAGGAACCAATAACTACAGCAGAATTTGCGTGATTTAATGATGCCTATTCTGTAACTATAACATTGTGCAGCATTTTTTCTTTTAAAAAGTTATCCCTCACTATTTTGTTGTTCAAGGTGACTTGCGCTAGCATGTACGTTTTTGCTGAGACAAAGATTAACAAACTGTTTTAAATTAGATATCCATACTGACCTGCTGCTTTAATACCAAATTCTTTACTCCTTCCATCACAAATTGTGATCCGGTATTCATTACACGTGAAAGCAGGCTGAAAAAGAGAGAATACTATAATGTGCTCATTCTTCTTGAATTTGCCAATCAAAATGTTTCTGGACAAGCAAATACATTAAGTTATTTGTAGCTTTTCTCAGAACAGAGGAGTTCATTGAAGTCCTCTGCATCTGAAAATACCAATACTACAATTCTTGTCAGCTAAGGAATATTTTGAAAAAAAATAACAGCTTCTTTTCCTCCAAGTGATTAGCACCAAACAAAAGACCTATTATAATACTAGAGCTGCTTTCAATTATGCTATCAAAAGTTGTTCCTACAGAACTCTTTGCAGGACGAACATTCCTGCTGCTGGATATTTATCTTGCTGCTTTAGATTCTGAAAGGAATGAAGAAATCTTCCGCAGCAGTTATCCAAACAGAGTTCATTTTCCACTTTGGACCATTTTATAACACAGGCCACAATTCTGAAAATAAGACTCTTAGAAGAAAACAGGTACGATTTTAAGTAAATTAGTTTGATCCAATTAAGCGGTAATTTGCACATTAACAGACAAATAAGTCTGTACACCAGTGACTTTTGACTCACCTTCCAAATCCATCAGTTAAACCTTACCCGAGTTAATATTTTTCAACATCACATACCTTATTGGTTTCACTCCACTGCCTCCAAAGTTTGTTGGAGCTGATGCCATTTTGGTAAATGCTCTGGTAAGTAAAGACAAATGTAAGATTAAAATTCTTGAAGAAAAATTTGAGGTTGGAAAACATTTCTCTTTCATTCCATAGAGTTGACACATGGACTGCATTTTTAATCAAAATAGGTTAACTGTACCCTGAAATGATTTCAGAGCATAAGAAGAAACAGACAAATTCACATTCAAGTCGTTTTGGACCCTCATGATTCCAATTTTTGGAATTCTTGTTTGCTTCTGATCATGGAGAGAGAATTTCACAGCATTTTTGCTGCAGTATTCGGAGATTTCAGATTTCCATTTACCTCCATTAGGAGACTACATTTGTGGACTTCAAATTGTACTTTATTGATTGTTAGAAGTAAGTTTCAGAAGCTGGATGTTTTTCCAAAGATCTCAGGTTAGAAGATTGTGTGAATGCATTCTTATCTTACTTGGCAGAATGGAATGGTACATTGCTGCATTCACTGTAGTACTCTTCCTCCTACTTTGAAGGAAATCTAAATTACATATACAAATATAGGGATTGCTTCCATCCCGTTTCAGGGAGAAATCATTCAGAAACATTGTTGGTACATTTTTTTTTAGTAATACTGCCTTCGCTGTACTCTTATTTTGAACACATCAGCAGTTCTTTTTCGTTGGTCATTTTTTATTATTAATAACTCAAATTGAGGGATAAATTTTAATTTTGCTCTGATGACTCATAGTTCTGGATCTTCCATATGTGTCACACTAACTGTATGTCCTCAACATTAAAACTATAGTGTTGGACATTTCTTACTTCCATCGTTTGATGTAATTCAAAGGAGCCAAGTTGCATCCAGCATCAGTCAAAGCTTTCTTGTATTGCTCTAGGTCAACCTGTTGATACGTAAAAAAATTCTATTTAGAATGAAGAGAAAAAAAACTGCAAGGAACTGTGGAATTGAAAACTGTATGCAGCTGGCTTCAGGAAAAAAAAGTCTAAACGTTTCAGCTTGTTTTGGTGTGCCTTATTGAATTATGCTGAAGAAACCTGATTTTATTTGAAAAGGTTAAATTAAGAAACCATGAAATGGAGGAACTTATATGTGTAGAAAATGAGCAACTTTTTCTTCAACTAAAACATTCAAGACAAACAAATGTCAGTCCAAATCGACAGATTAGTTGTGCATACTGTTGCATGGCACTGTCCTTCAACCAAACATCTAAAAAGCCGATTTACAAAATGTTTCTATGTAAGCAGATACAATGATTTGCTTTACTGGTGGCCTTTAAGAATGAATAGAAGAATTGTATCCAAATGGTATGAGTAATTGGGACAACTAAATGAAAATATGACGATGACGATGATGATGATGTGCCAATACTAAATCATACAGGCATAATTTGCCAGGCAGGACTTTTGTACCAAATTGACTCGATTAACTACGCAGATACATTATAATTTAATCTATAGCATCAATGACTATATCTCGTCATATTTTTTGAATGTGATGGATGAAACTTGTTTTTTATGTTGCTTTTCTTTTTGATCCTGGTAAAATCCAATTCAACCACGTTTTAGCTGGGTCTGGTAATAATTTCAGTTACCATAAAACAGTGGTGTTTGTAGAGCAAATAATCTGCTTGGTTGGACTACATTTTTAAACTCTTTTTGTTATAGATTTGAGTTGGAAGGAAATTCAGGACAATAACATCTTGCAATCAAAGCTCATTTTAAATGCTCGAAAAATTGGGTATAATTTGGGTCAGTAATTGTACTGAGATGAATATCAGGTTATTCAGATCCAGTATAATATGAATTGAGGATTTTCAGAATAATTATGGTGGGCTCACAAAAAAAATGCAGCAGTTCATTACAATGATTGCCACTAACTTGCTTGAGTCTAGCATCAATGCAAAGCACAGAACTCCATGTATCTCATTAGACTTGCATTACATTATATTTTGCAGCAAGATGTGTTTAGATGACCAGAACACAGGAAAGTTGATGGCAGTTTGTTGCAATGCAAAAATGACACAGACTGACTGAAAGTAATATGGAAAGAATTTTTTTTAACGTACAATTAACAAAATTGTATGATCCGAGGTGAATAAAATGTAAAATCATCACTAAAGTAATCAGTACAAACCACCCAATCATTTTTTGGCTGCAGTAACAAACTCCGAGGAACAGAATACAATTTGTAAAGATACTACTCTATAAGGCACTGGCTAGACACCATCTGTAATATTGGGTGTAGTATTAGTTCATACCATAGAAAAAATCTTACTATCTTCGAAAGGGCTGAACACAGGCTAACCAAGCTGCCACCTCAGGAATATGTCGTAAAACTTGCATCAGAAATACATTGTACACCATAGGGAGCTCAGCATTTTCACATGGAATGAACCAAACCAACCGTTACTAGACCTGCTGATCCTGGCATCAAACTGAAATTAGTTGTGCTTGCTCAATGGTTCGTAATACAGTGACAGTTTGATTACTGCAAATACGATCAGAAAAGACTCCAATTGCACAAAGCCATTTTATCATAGTTCAATTATCACAGAATTTAAAAACTTTGAAAGATTTCCTACTTTATAATTTCATGTTTATGTGTGCTAAATTAACCTCATCAAGCAACAATCAAACAAGCGCTGCAAAAATCTTTTTAAGTTCTATAATACAGTAATACATGATGTTCTCATTTTTGATTTAATCCTTTAATCCCTTCTCAACTGACCCATAAATTTGTGACACCACTTTTTATTCTCATCTTTATTTAGCCCGCATCAGTGCATTTCCAATTTCTTCTAATTCATTTATGAAAACTCAAAATGTTAAGCCTGTTCACAGAGGTTTGCAAGAGGAAAGGATAGTGGAACTGAAGACCAGGCACCCAAATTACCTTCAACTGCAAGGCTAATGTAAGTGACGCAATTCTCCATGCAATACCATCGCTCCATAATTCATTTATAGATGGACTAACTCTCGCTGAAGTTTGAACGTTTTCCATCCCACTGAATTGGTACATTGGTACATCCATTCATACATACATAGGATGCTGCATTAATTTCTATAGTTCTGTGACACTAACCCACGTGAAGGGCACTATATAAATGCAAGTTGTTGTTGTTGTAGTACTTTGTGGCCAATCTTAAAAGTAAATAATATTACCCTAAAGTGAAGCAAGAGGTAAGAGGTAACCCTCATACTCAAACTTTTTTTTTTGTGAGTCAAGTGTTCAACTTAGCAGGCAACCGTCACACGTTGACACTGCAAAAAAAAATTCTGAATAAAATACATCAGCAATTCTACCAGTAATTTATGGTTTCCAATGTACCCACGCACAGCATACAGCATTTGTTTGGTCTTAAAAATATCTATATAAATGTATTTTTGGTTTTAAAAAAATGTTCAACTGTCAATAATGTTAGATAAAAGAACTAAAAGAACTTAAAAATATTTTTTCAATTTGAACACTCCAACGGAAAATTTAACAAAAATATGTACTGAATCATTTCCAGTTCTCAACAGTGTTAAATTTGCCAATATTTTTATGGAATTATTAAGCTCCAGTAGATGCTACTTTTGATTTAAATCATCTGTATCTCTGACTTGAGTGAAAATGCTTCACTCATCAGTCATGATTCTGCTCTGAGGTAACACAACAAATGAATACATTGACTGACATTAAAGTCAAGACTTAAGAACATCAATGCCAGATATATGAAGCAGTAAATTTTTGTGGTTAAAAAAAAATACTTCTCTATTACTATAATTTATTTTTATTAATATGGTGAGTATAATTGGACCAAAAGGGGAAAAATGATCACATAACAGAGCTGAATTTTATTTTTTAAAAAACAGCATAAATAATCGGATCAACCAAAGTGCAGCTCTAAAACAAATTAAAAATAGCCTGCCTCTTGTAGCAAAAAAAATACACCATTGTGCTTGTGCTTCAATTCATTTATCATAGAAGTAATCATTTTTGAAAACTTTTTAGAACAATTAATGAATGTCATCATGACATTTTGTAGATCAAAGGAGTGCTTGCTTCTACTTTAATCTTAAGAGGCTACATCACTCCAATTTTCCCCAGTTCATAATATAGGCGAGTCTGGCACATGGAGGATTACACATTAAGAATGATGCATTTCTATTTGCCTAAATGTGGTTAAAGAATAAGTTCTGTAGTACAGTAAAGTAGCTTTAAGTAATAGCTGCATTAAAATTTAGTATCACTAGTTAAAATCAATTTGTCTACAAAATAGTCACTATACTACACTAAATTATGTGAAGGCTTTCAGACGTTTTGACAGCATGTTAAGGGACTTAAATATGTAATTTCCCTTATTTTGTGTTATTTTGCCACAGAAGTAGTTTGCAAGAATATTTATCACATAGCTTCAGCGGAGAGAAGTTTTACATTTGCCCCCCTTCTCCCATTTCTGTAATGCTGTTAATATCTAGGGCTTTTTGAATCAGTAAAATACTGTTGAATTGTTGTCTTACAATCTTCATTTTAAATTTCAGAAATAGCAGGAACTAATCTTTCTTAAGTGATGTGAATAATGTACATCAATAAGCTTTCAATGATCAAGTGGTCAAACAAAACTTACTTCTGAAGGTGGCTGTGGTGAACTGATGTAGTAGATAATAAACAACCTCATTTTATCCTCAGGGGTACCTCCTGTAGAAAGAAAAGCAAAACATTTTGAAGCTCGGTAGTTATTTTTTTAAAGAATTTTCAAAAATTCTTTAAGTAGAGCTAGCTCAGCATTTCTTTTTTTTTGCTTTTGTTTCAATTTTTTTGTTCACCAGAAATTCTGCTCGATGCAACTAATCAAAAGGAAACTTGCCAAGGTTTCACCCCACCCTGGAATTGAACCTGGCTCCTCTCGCTTGCGAGGTGAGCGCGCTAACCATTATGCTATGGGACCCCGTAAAACTACACTTTCAAAGAAAACGGAATTCCATTCTTTAAAAATCCACGATGTACAAGTGTTCAAAAGATGGTTCATATTCTAATATGAAAGAACCCCAAAACAAATTGATCACTGACTTAATGGCTGTTTGTGGGGAATTTCGGTACTCAAACTGGCAGCTGTGTTTGTCTACAAAATAGTCACTGCACTTTTGAAACATCCTTCAGATGTGAAAACACTGTAAGAAATGCAAAGATTATTACAAATGCAACAAATTGACCCATCGCTGAAAAGCAATGGTCATATAGCCCGGTCACTGGCAAATAGATCAGATTTGTAACATATCTGTAGGTAGCTCCTGCACCATCTTTTTTTCCTATTCTGACTCCCCAAATCCAATGTAAAATTTCTCAAATAAACATTCATCATCCCAGAGTGGGATCACTATGTCAACATGGAATATGTAAGGGGCAAAATGAAGACAGGAGACAATTTAAATACAATGGAGAATAAATATAGGATACACTGCCAGAAATTCATCAGGTTTACATGGATATGGATTTGACTATGCAGCAGAATTGTAATTGCCCAAATCTGTTTTCTACAATATGTTCAAGACTTCCCATATAGCCAGGCACAAATTCCAGTGACGCATCATCAATTAGAATTAGAAGACCATTCCAGCTATTCATCATTTTCCAAGAAATGAGAAAAAAAAATTTCAAGGCTGGAAATCGAAAATAAAAACAGCAATGCTGGAAATCAACAATAAGTCACATTCAAGAAAAAGGCTTAGGTTTTGAGGACTGCCACTCATTGGAATAATGGACTGGGGGTGCCCTTATATAAGATAGCAAGTTCAAGAGAAATCTGAGAAGTCATATCAAAAAATTATTTGAAGAAGCAACTGAGACGTATTTGAAATGTTGTTAACAGGAACCTTAGCAAAGAACAAACCTCAGGGCTCTTTCTTTGCTCTATGTCACCTCTCCCTTGCTCAACATTTGATCTGGCTGTGAAGTGCTTATCTTAAGATATCTTATCATATGTTAAGTGGGGATTTCAAATGAAGGTCATTGTTATTCTATTTAATATAAAATTATGCACTTTTTAAAAAGGCACTTTGATCTATGGATGTGATGACACTTCCTGAATTAGACACAGATGTTAACGCATTTCTCCCCCATATCTAAATAGTGTATGTAGGCAATAAACTAATGAAATGTGGGTTTCAAGAGGAAAGTAGACAGATATTTGAAAGTTAGAGGCTTGAAGGGTTTTGGGCAAGGCAGCGGGATTAAACTTGCAGCTTTCTCTGAGAGTTGGTGTAGATTTCTGTAAATTTCTATGATTCTGTGAAATAGGATACTAGGTTAAATAATCGAATAAGTGTAGCTCAACAATTCAGAAATCATGCTGAAGCTGTACAGTGCTTTGGTCAGGATGCATCTGAAGTATGTGAGCCGCAACATAAAAAGGCCATTAAAAAGCTAAAGGCAGTGCCGAAAGGTTCCAGTGAGCAGGAGTAGTGGCTGAAGCTCAGGTCAGAACCCAGAATGTTTTATCGGGATGAAAAAAAAGCATTCAATGTCTTTTTAGTGAAAAAAACACATACACATACTACTTATATAAATGTGACATAAAATTGATAATCTATGCATTTACCTCTCAATGAGTTGGAAGTCATTTTAATAGTAATAATCTTTCTTACTCCATACAGTGCCCTTTGGTTTACTCTAATGTGTAGTGACCATCTATTTTGTAGGTGAATGCAGCAGCCAATTTGCACATAGCCTTGTCGTACTAACAGCAAATAAATGAATGACCAATTTTATCGCATGGATTGCTAGCTGGCTAGGAGAAACCTAACCAGGGCTTTCGCCAATCTGTACCTTATGCTCCGAAATTAGTTAAGCAGGGTGCGTCCCTCAGGGAGAGTGCGTATTCCAGCAACAGGGAAATTTCCATTTGTAGGTGTCATAATCACATGGATTTCTGACTGGTTTGGATATTCTTAAGCATGGTGATGGATTTCCAGCGCCTTGGGATGTCCACCCGACGTGAAAGGCGCTATACAAATGTAATCTTGTTGTTGTTTCCATGTGTGTCAGACACTCAGTTAACCAAATAAAGAGTGTCAGCCTAGATTGTGAGTTCAAGATTCTGTTGTGAGACATACGCCCGCAACCTTCTGACTGAGAGACAAGAGTGCTACCAGCTGAACCGGATGATATATTTTATTATTGAAGCTACCAGTTATTATAATACTTCTAAAATTCAATAATCTTCATACCGTAAATCTTCACCTGTGCATTCAAAGTTAGTTTTTAAATGCAATAATTACCATCAGGATCCGAGATCATATCCAGTAGGGATTTGTCGAGTGTGGATTTGCTCATCAGCTTTTCTTCATATTCAAAGTAAACATCTAGTTTGCGAGTCTGCAAGGAGAACTACCTTATTAATGTGAATTATTACAATTAATGTGGTGTAAAAGGGTGTGATGAAAAGGTTGGGTTTCGGATTAAAATATCTGATAAGATTTAATAAAGTGGTGGATCAGTTTCGATGGCCGTAATGGTCTCGTCCTGTTCCTGTTTTTCTATGTTCCTTTTAGGATGGTTTGATAAGGAAAATAAACATGTTTTTGTAGAAAACTGACTGTACGATAAGTAATTACAATTAAGATGCCACTATTACCGTCAATGATGCTTTATAGAACATAGCAGCAGCTTTCATTGGTAACATTTGTCCATTACAGAAAATTGGTGTCAATGCGAGTCACAGAGTAACAAAGGTGATTATGTGCTGAAGTCTGCAGCAAAATATCGGAAAAAAACAGCAGGAAAAACAAAAACATTGCATCAAACATCTGGAAACATAGATAATGAAAACCGCTGTGTGGAATGTTTGCAGCCAGAAACTTGCCTCTTGTTATAATTTTTTTTAAATTCTGGATTTTCACCAAAAGCATTGCATTCTGATGAGATACACAATACCCCACACTCCACCTTATGATACTTCTAGATTCCAACTCAGGAAAGCAGCATTTCCAGTATAATATTAGTTTTCCAAGTATTCCTGTGGTTTCTCTGAAGAAGACTGCCAATACCTATGCAGTTTTGTACTGTGGACTCTAGTTCAATTCCAACTCAGCTCAGTGTCCATCCAAACTCTTCACTCAAGACGTTTATTGCTGGCAAAGGAACCTCTGATCCATCAGTTAGTGCTGGCAACGTAGGTAACAGAAATAAAACAGGACACAGTGTTCCAACCAAATGCTCTGTCCAGTTCCCCTTTGACAAACCATAAGGTTGAAGAGAGTGCTCATACAAGGTCATCAGCACAACATACATACATCTATCTATCCATCTATCTGATTTCTAGCAGCAGAGAGGATTATAAATTAGAACAGTGAAAATAACTGATACAAAGAGAAGCAACCAGTATGAGACAAAATGTACTAATAGATCACTTGCATAAAGAAACAAGTGCTCATCAGGAAAACTCAGGAGATCACTGTGTTTCTCTGAGCGTCTGCAGTGATTCACGCTCAGTGTAACTCAAAAGACTGTGGCAGTCTGTGTTTATGGAATTCACTACCCCAGAAGGCTGTAGATGCTCAGTCCTTGAACATCTTCAAGACTGAGACTGATAGATTTTTAAAAAATAGAGGGATTAGGGGATATGGAGATAGGGCAGGTAATTAGTTAGGTCTGAAGATCAGCCATGATCTTATCAAATGGCGGGGCAGGCTCGGGGGCTGAATGGCCTACTCCTGCTCCTAATTCTTATAGTATCACACATTCACACACGTGACCCTAGGCAGTGAATGTTAGTAGCAAGTTGAAGTAGTGACATATTACAGCCAAACCCAATCTTATGCATGTGAGTGCATTTTCAAGTTAGGATCACCTTGTGGCAAATGGTGTGAAACAATTGACTGACACCCAGCCTAGTCGAGAGGATCAAAGTCAACGGTTATGTTTGCACCACAACCACATCTGAGAACAGCTAACTCTGCAATCGAGCCCAAGAATGTCCAAGTCCATTTCTCAGTACCATGCTTTGTAGCCCACTGAACCAATAGGAAAAATGAGTTAAGCGAATTTTAAACAGACGTATTTCCCTCCGTTCCTCTTTAAAATAAGTTGTATTTTGCTTCAATATTTTCACCCAATTTTTTTTTGCCTCTTCTCCGTACTCTGTTATCGCAATGCTGCTTGCAGACTTTTCTATAGGTGCTACTTCTCAGCTACAGTGCAGACTAAGAGATTCCTCCCTAGCTAATTTGTTTTTCCTTTTTCTCCCCAAACAATCTGACCACGATGGGCAAACTCACTCAAGAAACTGTGATCTTTCTATAGAAATTGCTAATGGCAACTGCTACAGGCAGGCAGCCTTATAGTGGGATTAAAATGCCTAGCACCTCTTTAGGCTCAATGCACCAGATGGCCTCTTCATTTGCTGTAATGCGTAGTATCCGAGGTTCATATGTAAAGAATGGCCATTTGGATTAGTACTGAAGTGTTGCCAGCATCCATGGAATTATGATACATTGTGAGTCAAAATGATGACAGAAAATGATGGTTGAAGAAAAAACTGAAATGATAAGTTTGTTCAACAAAATGTCACTGTGAAATAATTCTATGCCATAAGGCACTTTGGGTAAATGGTTATTTTTTCCTCAGATTCTCATGCTGCTATTTGTTTTCAGCGTCAATAATAATAATCTGTGTTTTTGATACAGCGCCTCATCATGTCGACATGTTTCAAAGCGATTCACAGAATATATTGTGAAGTGAATTGACTGTATATTTTGCGGGCGAAAATAGTTACTTTGAAAGACACTAGATTTTCTAAAAGGGTTCCTAAGCGTTAAGATTTATTTCTTGTTTTCTTTGCCAAAGATAAAGCAAATGGTCCTAGGCTATAGGGAAAGCAGATAGTGTGTGTAATCCAAGACTGCACTTACATCAATCATTTTTAAAAAAATTACCTAGCGCATTGGTGGCCAACCTCTTTGGCTAACCAACAAAATAAATGTCTCTTGATTGAATATTTCTTGGTTAATGGCAAAATCTATGGTATTTTGTAATTTCTATGATTATTTTGTTGGTCAAAAGTTGGCCACCAGCTAGTAGATCCATCAGCTGAAAACTGAGTTTTGTCCGTTCCTAGCTGGAGCATCAGTGTGTGCTGTGTTGAATAAACACCCCCATTTTGTTTTGGTGCAAGGTCAAAATGAATGAAAAATAGGCTTCCTGAGATGCAATACAATACAAAATTACATTTGTAAAGCGCCTTTCAGGTCAGGAGGACAACCCAACACACTGGATAGTCAGGGATTTGGACCCGAGCTGGAAGTCGGGATCGGGGAGGGCAGGAAGGTGGCCGAAGGCTCGGTTGAAGAGGGCTTTGAGATGCGCTTTGAAGGAGGCAATGGAGGGAGCAAGGCAAAAGGAATGTGGGATGGAGTTCCATAGGGTGGGGGCAGAAAGGCTGAAGGTCTGACCACATGGTATCGCTTCTAGGGAATAACAGAGTCATTAAATATCATACCTTGATGTGTTCTAAGACAGCAGTTGCAACATTTGTATGGAGATCAATGAGCCTCTTTTTCTGAAGCAGTTCAGGGAGAGAGCTTTAAAGAGACAAATAAACAAAATGGCCTCAGTAAATTTCACTTAAAAAAAAGCCCATTCGTGGCTTCAATGTTTTATGCAGATGTAATATTTAAAATTTTATGGCACAGATTTTATATATTTGATCATCTGGAATGCACTGGATTATAGGTTACTTCAAGAAGAGCTCACAAAAAGATTACGAATTCAGTATTGAATAAAATAATGTGCAAAGAGACAAACTGAATTTGCTAAATTGGTCTGTCTTGGTATTAAGAGTACTGACACAAATTAAACTCAAAGATAATTTTCTCAATTTACAATTGGAATCAGAAAGAAGATCAAAGAGGATGAGTTGAGAATTTTAAATTCGCTTCCACAGTATATGGGAAAATTCACAGGAGAAATTTTCAGCAAAAATAAATGTCAAATGCCTCATCACAATCTTTGTATTTATAAAAGGAACCCAATTTAATTCCTGTTCCTTTCCAGCCATGGAAGAAACCACTCTGTTCATAACAAAGATAATTTAGACATGAGTAACCAAACAAATATATTCCTTGTCCAAGTTATCTGAGACTGTATTAACACACGTATTAATAATGATCACCTATTCTCTGAAGATAGGATAAAATAAAATTGTTTTGTCCAGTGAAAACTTAATTACTTGCAGTCCAATTATTCCCCATATACAGAAATTGTATAATCTGTTCCTCCTCAGCTCCTGACCATTGCCCATATACACCGACAGCCTGGCCGCCCACCCCCCACCACCATGATACTTCAATGCAGTAATGGGGAGCGTTGCACAGATACAAACAATTATAATCTGTCACTATGATCAACAAAATTTCAGTAAATAAAAAACATTTACGTATGAATAAAAATGTTACTTGCAAATTATTAACTTATATCTCTTTTGGGTATTGCTCACCTGACTGCAGACGTTAGTTTGGCAGTGTTGTCAGAAAGCATGCTAATAGCACCTTCATCCTCTCCCTCTAGCCCCTGTAAAGCAAGTCACAGATCTTATTTCAAGGGGAAAACATTCCAGACTAACTATTTTCCTTGCATTTCAGAGTGTGTAAATTCAGTCTTCATTTGGGAAGTTTTCTATAGTTCTTAAAAGAACCTGTATACAGAGGGACTTTTCAAATTAAGATTCAATTTAAGAATTTGCCAAAGTTTGAACACTTTGAAATAAGTCAGTTACCGCAACTGACTTTCTTTCAGAAAAGAAAAAGGCTGCAGATTTCAGTCTGAGAGCTGTCTCTGACACTCAAATGGATAACACCAATTTGGTTACATTTAGACATTCCTGCCTCCTGCTGGATGATTATGCAGTTTTAGTGGATTACTCAGAAGACCCTATCCTGTGCTTTCTAAGCAAAATGAAGTGTATTCGCTTTGAAATTCCTACTTACCATGATACTTTTCAAATGTTTGACTTCATCTTCTTGTGTCCTATAAGAATCTAGTTCTTGCTGGACTGACTCCGCTACCTCTGGAAAAGGACTGCAAACCAGAAGAGATCAGGGATTCATAATATAAATTGAGATTTTATGTCTGATATTCAAATTAAAAGTACATCGACTAGCAAAGATGTGGACAACATCCACAACTCTCCAAATAAAGCATTCAAAATTCAGTAATGTAATGGAGGATAGTCACTTCCCTGTATGCATGAAAGTAAAATTCAGAAGACAAACTGCTATCAGGCTACTATTTCACATCTCCAAACAGTAGTGTCAAAGACAGGTGAGGCTGCTCTTATCTGGTAAGTAATAATAATAATCCTTGCATTTGATATAGCACTTTATCATGTCTTCGAGACATTTCAAAGCGCTTCACAGAATTTACTGTAAAGTGAATTGACTGTATATTTTGTGGGTGAAACACCCACAAAACACCCACAAATGGCACCTTAACCCAGGGTGACCTAAAAGAGGGGAATAGATTTCACAATATATTAGAGATGTGAAGGAAGCAAGAATCAGTGGACAAATTACAATGATTAAAAAAAATATTGTTTATATATAGGTACCAACCACAAAAGAAAAACATCTCTTGTCCCTCTCCTGAAACTGAAATATATGAAGACTGCATATAATTAACATTGTTGTATGCAGATCTTGCTTACAAAAAATATGACGACTGCACTTTGTCAAGCGCTTTGAGGCATCCACCTGATGCAAAAGGTGCTGTATCGAATACAAGTATTATTATTACAATGAAATTATTATAATGAAATCAAAAGATACAAATTGTAAAAATAATAAATACCCAAGTAATCTCTCAAAGTCACTTTTGCAATGTGATTGAAAACCAAAATACAGTACGTAAATTACAAAAAGGACGTTGATTGTGAATAGAACACGGGATTCTCTGAATTGGTAATATGATTCATCAAAGTAGCTAAGATAAATGTGTACTTTAAATGGTATTATTTCCAGTTAAATGTACATTCAGCAGTTCAGACAACTATTTGGGATGAAATTCAGTTATACCTTACATATTTCATTCAAATAAAACTGACCAGCTTATAAATAAAATAATCAGAGTGATACCACAACTCTTCTGTGTAACAGAATCTCACACACAAATAGACTCTTAAAGATTACGTTTACAACATTTTGACCAGAAAAATATCAGTAAATATTAAGAGAATACTTCTCTTTGAGCTGATATTTGCATCAATTGAAGATTTAAAATATAATGTCTGCTACATAAACCTTTCTTCTGATACTTCTTACGAGTGTTAACATCACTAATAAAAAATTCAATACCAATGTTTAATTACCTGCCTTTGTGTCTTTGCCAAAAATGATCAGCACCCGTCAAGTCATAGGTTTTCTTATTCTTTTTCTTTGGTCGTGCTCCTGCAGGAGATGTTTCCTGTCCTGGGGTTTCTTCTAGGTTGACCCTATTCAAAAGGAAATCCTGAAAGAAAACTGCAAGTATTACAAGATAGGCTAATAAAGGCAAATACTTTAACTTGATGTAGTCCCATCTTGATGGAGAATTTAATATTTTCAATATACTTTGTTCCGCAATAATATTAATTATCTTACTCCAGGTGACTTACATGGGACTCTGATGATGTGCAACAACAGTGAGGATATTTATAACAACAACAAATGACATACGTGATTTTATCTGGTAGAATAACAATAATAATTCTCGGATTTGATATAATGCCTTATCACATCATTGAGTCATCTCAAAGCACTTCACAGAATATACTGTAAAGTGTGTAATGGAAACTCAGGCTTTCTGTAAACCTTATGAAAAAAAATTCTCATCAGTTAGTACATACAAGATGTCTAAATAGGAAATGTAAACTCCATTTTTATCCTGAGTGCCGAAAACAAAGGTTTGCAAACCACGCTGAAGAAAAAATTATTAATAATTTGATCACTCACTCCACGATTGTTCGTGGGACACCGCTGTGCGTAATTGGCTGCCGTGTTTCGCCCACAAGATACACAGTAAATTCACTTTACAGCGTATTCTGTGAAGTGCTTTGAGACGTTTCAAAGACATGATAAAGCATCACATCAAATGCTATTATTATTATAAAAAAATTGACATTAAGTTGTTGATTTCAGAAGGGTGCCAGAGGTTTGAGTTATCTCCACAAAGAAATTTCAGATTTTTCTGTGAGCTAAAAATATAATTTTGTCTTTGAGGAAAGTATAAAATTTGAGTACAAAACTTTGAAATGTGCTCGTGGTAAATTATTTGTAGTGGGTTTTCAGTTCATGACAGTCCTTAAAGTATGCTTTTATGGCTGATCGTTAGGGATCATCTAGATACATGGTGATGTTCCAGATGAGTCTGAATAGCATATATTCTCCTGGTTGTTTGCTTGAGTTCAAGTTTGTGCAAGTTGGGACTTAAATATATTTTGAAATGTTCTGAATGTGGAAAATGTGATCTTTGACATGACAAAAAAAAGTTTAATTTTGGCAAATGCAGTATTAGTCATGGTAACAGTCCAAACAGGAAAAAAGTTACCCCTTTCAATTTTAACAATTGTAAAGGACAAGACAGTCAAGCACAAATAATATTCTGATACTCACAAAACCTTTGAGCTGCCCAGAGATGTAGAAATGTGGCACAAGTTGACTCACCCTCTGACAGATTTTATTTATTTAGATTTGATTTCTTCCTTCCTCATGAGGAAAATACCTGACTTACATAAGGCATCTGGAAAAGCATCAGGTAGGATGTCATAAACGTAAGTTTTCTCTCTATTGCTAATCTTAATTTATTTGAAATTTACCTGATTTGTATTGCATGCAGAATGGAGTGCACATACAACAGTCTAGTATTTTTTTTGTAAGATTTGTAGAGTTTCCATTTCACACATCATTTCACCAGTTAAAAAGGATACCACAGACAGGCTCCAAGATGTTTTGCACTTAATGGACTAAGAATTTGAAGTGATAAATTGCCCATTCATTATTTTTATATTGTTGTGTTCCTTCCCATGTCCAACTTCTTAACAAAATAACTTCCCAACGTTTAAATCAATTTGACCCAAGTCTATTTCATTAAGAAAACAATGAAAGTTAACACCATACTGGAGAACAATAACCAATTAAGGATGGCTTTATCCAGAACACCCCCATTTCAGCAAATATAATGAAGCACACTTAGACTATGACAGGACCAATCAACCATGAGATCAGTGGTCTTCCTATCGTTAGAGCCGGGCATTCTGAAGTCAGAGCTGCGCTAGCGCACTGGGAGCAATTGGGCTAGCTCATTGCTGTAGCAAACAGAGAAACAGTCTCAGGTTGCTATCTAAGAGGATTTCTCTACAGGTGGGAGATGGATCGTATAATAATTAAAAATAATAATCTTTGCATTTGATATAGCGATTTTCACATCTTCTAGACGTCTCAAAGCGCTTCACAGAATATACTGCTAAGTGAATTGACTGTATATTTGTGTGTGAATATTTCTGAATATTCAGTTGTGTGCTGTGTGCAGAAGGAAATAAAATCTCGGTAGAATCTCAGCACCATCTACTGGTGAGTACATGTTGGTACCAAATTAATACGCTGGAATTTCATAAATGCAGTTCATAAAGTAGCTTGTGTTGTGATTGCATTCATTTAGCTCCACAAGTTTAGATTTGATTTCCATGAAGGCAATAAAAGCATGATTATCAAATAAAATCAAACTTTTTTAAACAAACAAAAATGGTACGTTTGGATTTCTTACCAGGACGTCATGAACCAGGGCCTGGTACGTCCATGTATGGTGCAACGGGGTAGCCAAGTCTATATTTCGGTCAACAAGGACTAACAAAGGTCTTTGGAAACTGCAGAATAAATTCAAAACATTTATAATTGTTGGTATAGTGGAGCTTTGTTATACCGCGGTAGTTGGTGATAATAAAATCCCAACCTGCACTATAACAGGGTACTTCCGGATTCACTGCGCACATATTCAACATACAGAAAGTGACCCTGGCAGAGTCCTATGAAATGGAAGCCAGCCATGCTCACTTCGCACGCACCAGCTGGCTTTTCTGAAGCACCAACGGAGACAGTTCTCTCACTTGGGATTTTTGGTGTATGTAAATGTCGGGACCCACACGCCAACCACACTATAAGCGAGCCCTGCTTATTATGAGGTGCCTTGTAACAAGTTCTACTCTATAACGAACCACTTGTTAAGTTTTATTTCTCACAGTTCAAGTACATCCAAATAATAACTGCACTTCATGTTTTATTTGCAATCTGACCATCATCCACTTGCTAATTATAGCAGAATCAAATAGTTTTTAATTACTTGAACCAAAGTAATTCACTTAAGTAGCACAATTAACGATTTTATTAATGCTGTAACAGTTAATTAGTGAGCATCTACTAGACTGAGTCATTCAGTAACACCAGGATTGTCTTTTTCATTCTCTTCTGCAACTAGACATTTACACCCAAAGGAGCATGCATAAAAATAGGCCTCTGATGAAAACCTGCCATACTTATATCTCCTGCTTAATAATTCAAACTATATAAATACACCCTTCACTAAACTGCCTTCGTTCCACCGGGTCTGGCCTCCTCCTCGTCCCCGAATCCTCCGCTCCAGTATCGGCAGCCGTGCCTTCAGCCACTACGCCCTGAGGCTCTAGAACTCCCTTCCTCACTCCCTTCGCCTCGCCCCCTCTCTTTCTATTTTCAAGTCTTGGCTGAAGACCTTTCTTTTCGACTGTGCCTTTGGTCACCTTCCTCCCCCTCTCCCTGGCTCGGCCCCGGGATCCGTTACTGTGAAGCGCTCTGAGATGCCGTCCAGCTTGGAGGGCGCTATATAAATACAAGTTGTTGTTGTTGTAAACTCCTTAAGATATTGAAGGTTATTGAATTCTCAGTGTTCCTGAATCACCATCTGAATAATTGCCCCCTTCTTTCAGATTCTATCAGCTTCATTCTCACATTCACTTTGTCTGTTAAATATATCAAGGCTTGTGGCATAAGAATACTCAACATGAATTCCATAAATCCTACCGGTTCACCGTGAAAAAGTTACACACAATCAAAATCCTTATTACTGAAGGAATATCTTTGCTCTTGTACCTGAATTGTCCCCCAGCAAGAGTGTCTCCTGTGAAGAGACTGTTTCTGGCATCTCGTAGGTTTTCTCGAAGCTTCTTATCCAGTTTCTAAAAGGATAAAGAATTGGAAGTTATTTTAAATTGCATAAATGTCTATACATATATAATGACAATCAAAGAATGCTGACAAAACAGTTCTCACTGTGCTCTGTTTTTAAAATAAGGTTTATTTGCCCACTATCACCCAATTCCCTTATCTCTCACTCGGCTCAGGCTTCCTTTATAATTTTCCTATGTGAAAGATGCTACTGATACAAGTGAAATTTGCTGGGGTAGCTGCCGTTTCCCCACTCCGATACACATAACTAATACTGACTCTCCCATATTTTATTTTTGAGAAACCAAGATGAAGGAAAAGCTAAGGTCCAGTTTGCAGGGTTACCACAAAGGTTAGTTTGAGAAAATGTAAACTGAAAGTGTTTAGTGACACCAAGCTGGGTCTACAGAAGCCTGCAGATTGCAGCTGAAAGAAAGACGTTTCAGTCTTAATGAAGAATGAGCCGGTGTAGGGAGCAGTACAAATAGTCTTAGTTTCAACAATGCGAGGATGCAGGGTGGAGGAATAATGTGTATATACTACATGAAAACACTAACAAATTCTGATTTTAAATAGTGTTTGACAAATAATGGTTCCTACTGTGTAGGGACCACAGTAGAGTGGAGTGGAGTCCTGTAGCTCAGTGGTTAGAGCACTCGCTTTGCAAGCGAGAGACCTGAGTTCAATTTCAGGCAGGGTGAAACGTTGGGCAAGTTTCCTTACTCCACACGCCTAATAATAATCCCTCCAATAATAAATTGGTCATTTTCAATCTACGACTGTTTGTGGGACATTGCTGTGTGCAATTGGCTGCCGCGTTCGCCCACAGATATACAGTCAATTCACTTTACAGTGTGTTCTGTGAAGCGCTTTGGGACGTCCTCCCGACGTGAAAAGCGCTATATCAAATGCAAGGATTATTATTATTTTTATATATACTGTATACATTTGCAAAATATCATAATTAAAGCTGAAATTTGAGGTTCATAAAAATCCTTTCTTATTCAGACGCACAAAGATTGCTCATATTTCAAAATGAGTATCAAGAAACTTTTATCAAAGGATAGAGGTATCTGACATTTCTATCACCTTGCCTCTCAGGGAGAAGAGATAATTTGTAAATTAAATTAGATTTCTTTACTGACTGGAAACAAACACCATTATCAACTGAAAGGACTTTATAAAATGATTCCATTCTTTTGGCCGATATATTATGTCTCAGGCCTCAAACTTCAATCACATAAACTAAAGAGGTTAAAATGCATTTCCTACCACTGCCACCATTTCAGCTGCATTTCCTCGAGGACACCTTATGATTGGAACAGCACCTATGTGCAAAAGACACCATTAGGACTAACATAAGACTTAGAAAATACAGTAAACCCCTGGATTGCAGGATTCTGGGTAGCCAGACCTAGCCAGACCGCATGTGAAGACTCCCTCTCTCCTATCACACACCCCTGCCTCAGCATGCTCGCTGGCTCACCATACTCACCTATTGTAACAAAAAAGCAGAAAAGGCTATCCACAAGTGTGTCCATTATGATCTCCATTTCAGTGTCCGTGATGTCAGGTCGATTGATTGCTGAAACAAACATAAACCACATAAACTGTAACCAGCCAGTTGTACTAGATTACGGTGATTTCTATTTTTATGTACTCCCAAGAATTTACGTACACAATGATCTGAATAACTTGAACTGGTACCCAAAAATCAACTTCTACCTTAAAACAAACCACAAACCACTTCTTTTAAAAGAGAATTTCAACATACAATTTTTAAAAAAAATATATAGATCCTGTACCATGATACGAGACCAGCTCCTTGTTCTGGTTGCATAGGACAAACATATCATCTTCCAAAGTGATAAAGTTTAGATACTGATCAAATACCTGCAAAAATAAACATACCCCAAATTGTGAGAAAGACCAGAAACTAATTCAAGTCAACTTATACAATAATTATGTACACATTTTCATTTTGCTGTTACATATTCCGATATAGATGCAAAGTGAGGAAAAGTTAAAAGATCAGTCACTGATCTTTTATTAGATCTTATGATGACCGACACTTTTACCTTGGCCACTTGAGCTACTGCATTAGTACTCAGAGCTGCACTAGCAATGTCTTCCAGTTTACTTCTTGAAATTGCTGAGATGAAGTTTAAGTAATAAGACTCGTAGAACTGGTTTCGAAGATCCTATCCAAAAAAAAATTAACAGCAGTTAGATTGTGGCTTTATCATGCTTCATAATGATCACATTTTTTGTAAGCAAAAAAGTACATAAAATTCTTGAAAAGTTTGGAAAATTTCAAATACTGTACTAAAATTTTACATTCTAGAAAATCCAAACTTTGCTTCCACAAACAAACTTTATACCCAAGAGGAACATGCAATTACCTGACATATCCGGTCAACATTTTCTTCTGTTGGCATTACAAAATATATTGCTGGAACATCTGGAATAGGATCTCGATCGGAGTGTAAAAGTCTAAAAAAATTCAAATACAAAACAATCGCCAGGTTATAATTTTTAAAAATGTTTTCCATATGTTCATTTTTAAATTACTGCGGCAAGCATGATTATAAATTTCACGAAACAGCTACCTCCGAATTCTGGATACCGGATGTCGCGGGGTTTAACATATCCACACAAAAGTGAAAGAATTCGAATATATAATGCACATTTAAATACTCTTCATTCTACTGTGTTCTACTGACGCTTTTTGGGGTGGTTAGCTGGGTGTTTGACACATGCGGAAACCCATCACCATGTTAAAGAGTATCCAAATCAGACTGAGAATTCTACATGTGGAAATATCTGTTTCTGGAATTGAATGTTCTACTGTAGTGAAAGCAGTAGTAGAAGTGTAGAAGTTCAAGGCTGAATTTGTCTTACAGATGCAACGTGATGCCCATGTCTCTCAATTCTTTCACGGATAGCAATGGTGAAATGATGTCTTGACCAAATCGGTCATAAATGAGAATCTGCAATAGAAAGTTATTTTATAAAAAGGTTGCAGAAGACCAAACAGACCAAATTCACAACACCTACTGCATTCCCAACCACCACAAAGATTTATTCACAAAACATACAGTCAATTCACTTTACAGTATATTCTGTGAAGTGCTTTGAGACGTATAGAAGATGCGATAAGGTGCTATATCAAATACAAGGATTATTATTATAATTATAACGAGTACCATGCTGTTCTCTACCAATGTGATTATTATTATTACAATAATAATCACAATCCAGTCACTCCGCATTACTCTCTGCTGGAGGAAATGCTTCATTTGCAATAGTATAGCTCTTGAAATGTGATTCTTTTGATTTTGCACAGTTGATTATATCTCTGTCATACATCATATCCTATGATTCCAAGTTTTGTATAAACTATATTTGACTTTCAATGAGTGGTTTACATTCTTAATGAAGATGTTAACATTGTTAAAAACTTCACAAGTACTTTCCTTTTCAATTTATAACGAGTACCATGCTGTTCTCTACCAATGTGCTCCATTTTCATTTACTTTTTCCGTCCAACATATCACAATAGTAATAATGAAATTACAATGTTTTAAAAATGCAGAGTTTAAAACATCAGCAGAAAAAGGGTCCCCTTTGGATTGAGTACATTTCTGGCAGAAACACAGAACAGATTAAGTAAATTTCAACATTTCCTACCTTCCATACGGCCTCTGTGGTGCTGTTTTTGACAGGAATTACATTGAAGTTTAACATTCGCTTTAAAGCAGCTGTAGGGAAAAAATGAAAAGCTTTACTGGATTTTAAACTATCATATATTATCCCACTTCATCCCTTATTGCAGCTTCAGATCCTCCTAGATTTTCAGAATGCTCTTAATTGGCTCAATGCAATTCTTCAAGTACTGTAGTTCATTAGATCCACATGTTCACAAGGTTTATTTCTAACTATTTAAACAGTTATGGGATTATGCGCCACTTTGCTACACTTAATTAGATTTATTCTGTGCTGATAGAACTTCTATGATTTTCCAGGATAATGTGTTGTGCAGAGAAGCCCCAAAAGCAGCAACATTGCACATGCTTGATGAGCCAATTGGCCACCTCCTGTCCAGAAATTTCTGTCTATCATTAAACAAGTATTTTTCTACAGTCTTCACCGTAGAAGACACTGGAAACATACCAAAAATAGAGGACCAAGAAGACAATGGTATCGAGCAATTTAGGGAGATTAACATTAGTAAAGAGATGGTTCTAGGTAAATTGTCGGGTCTTAAAACCGATAAATCCCCTGGACCGGATGGCCTGCATCCGAGAGTTTTAAAGGAGGTGGCTACTGAGATAGTGGATGGCATGTCTATAATCTTCCAAAAGTCTGTGGATACTGGAAAAGTTCCCATTGATTGGAAGATTGCAAACGTAACTCCACTATTTAAGAAGGGTGGGAGAGAAAATAGGGAAAACTATAGACCAGTTAGTTTGACGTCAGTTGTAGGGAAAATTCTTGAGTCCTTAATAAAAGACGTAGTTATGGGATACCTGGAAGACCATAAAAAGATTAGGCAGAGTCAACATGGCTTTACAAAAGGGAAGTCATGCTTGACTAACCTTTTAGAATTTTTTGAGGATGTATCCAGCAGGTTGGATAAGGGGGAACCAGTAGATGTGGTATATTTGGATTTTAGGAAGGCATTTGACAAGGTGCCACACAAAAGGCTGTTACTCAAGATCAAGGCCCACGGGATTAATGGGAAAATATTAACATGGATAGAAGAGTGGCTATCGGGTAGAAAGCAGAGAGTAGTGATAAACGGATCATTCTCGAATTGGCAGGATGTAACTAGTGGAGTGCCACAAGGATCAGCGCTTGGGCCTCAGCTATTTACCATTTACATCAATGATCTGGACGAGGACATTGAATGTAATGTGTCTAAATTCGCGGATGATCCTAAACTAGCAGAGTGAGCTCTCAGGATGATGCAAAAATATTGCAACAAGATATAGATAGGCTAGGGGAGTGGGCAAGTAGGTGGCAGATGGAATTCAATGTTAGCAAGTGTGAAATTATTCACCTAGGTAGCAAGAATAAAAGAACAGATTATTTTCTGGAAGGGGAGAAGTTAGATAGTGTTAGTATTCAAAGGGATTTGGGTGTCCTTGTACACCAGTCCCAAAAAGTTAGTTTGCAGGTGCAGCAAGCAACTAAGAAGGCGAACGGCATGTTAGCGTTCATTTCGAAAGGTTTAGAATATAAGAGTAGGGAAGTCTTGCTGCAACTGTATAGGGCTTTGGTGAGACCGCACCTAGAGTATTGTGTGCAGTTTTGGTCTCCTTATTTAAAAAAGGACATACTTGCCCTAGAGGGGGTGCAGCGTAGATTCACTCGGTTAGTTCCTGGGATGAGGGGACTGACCTATGAGGATAGGCTGAATAAACTAGGGCTGTATTCTCTAGAGTACAGAAGAATTAGGGGGATCTTATTGAAACTTATAAGATTCTTAAAGGGCTGATAAAGTAGACACAGAGGGACTGTTTCCCCTGGTAGGAGAATCTATAACCAGGGGTCACAGTCTTAAAATTAAGGGTCAGCCTCTTAGAACAGAGTTGAGGAAACATTTCTTCACTCAGAGGGTAGTGAACTTATGGAATTCACTACCCCAGAAGGCTGTAGATGCTCAGTCCTTGAACATTTTCAAGGCTGAGACTGATAGATTCTTGAAAAATAGAGGGATGAGGGGATATGGGGATAGGGCAGGTAATCAGAGTTAGGTGAGAAGATCAGCCATGATCTTATTGAATGGCGGAGCAGGCACGAAGGGCCGAATGGCCTACTCCTGCTCCTAATTCTTATGTTCTTATGTTCTCCCCACAGACAGATCCAATTTGTACCCTGACCAGATTCTCAGCCTGCCCAAATGATCAACAGTGCAAGTTTCACCTCACTGACAATTTGGACAGACAGATCGAGTTGTGAATCATGAATCTTGAACAAGTGCAAAGCATAAACTCTTTGGGGTCCAACAATAACACATTTAAGATAATTCATACACAAACAAACCCTCATGTAGAACAAGTACAGCTATCAGCCTGGCTCAGTTGATAGCACTCTCACCTCAGAGTAAGAGATTCTGGGTTCAAGACTCATGTCGGAACTTTTGAGCTCAAAGCCTAGGCAGGACTGGGGGAAATGTTGTTATCAGATGATGAGACAGTAGGGTCAAGGAATCTTGTGGAAAGTTGGATAGCAAAACATCAAAACTTTCCTAAACTTATTTTTGTGAGGAAGGACTTTAATGGGAGTTTTCCGGGGAGGATTTACTTCAAAGTGTACCAATTTTTTAAAGAGCTTTCTCACTAACAATTGAGTTCGAGCAAGTATAGGTCCTAAGATAAAGCAGCTGATCTATCTCAAGACCTATATAAAACACTAGCATTGTTTACAGAGCTATAGTTACAAAATGTAAATAAACAAAGAGAATGTTCAGCTATTTAGTAACAGTAACAACACACCATCAGAACTCCATTATAAAAGTTGACCAATATTTATAAATATATACCATTTCAATAAGAGAATCTAAAGAAACTGACAACACTAGGTACCTACACCTTGTAAACAATTTAAACAGAAGCACTCAAGATACTGACTTTGACAACCACTACAATTTGCATTAAATATCACCCTTTACTCAGGGATGCATCTCGGAGCGCTTAAATACTTTATTAATTCAGCTCCATCAGCTTCCTCACACAATAGGCTCAGGAAGAACTCCAAGCACGTTATCTCATTCAATGATTGTTCTGGGATTCACGTATTTTCACTGCCTGCATACTGTATTTTCAAAAAAGAACTGTGGAACTTTTCTGTCACTTTTGATATTTTATGCAAACTGACTTTATTTATCAAACTATTTTAAATAGAGCAGTGAGTATCTGAAGGGACTGTCAGTGAACGCGAACATTTCAGGTGATTGCACAGTCCAGACGAATGAAACTTACAATCACCAACATCTGAACTCAAGGTGGCGGTTTGGTTCAGTTTGTAGGACTCTCACTTCTGAGTCAAAAAATTGTGACTTCAAGCTTCACAACAGGGCTTTGAACTCAGTTTAAGATTCATGGATTCATCCTGCATTCGATGCAGCTTCTTTCGCCTCCTTTTATCTCTTAAGGAGATAAAACTTTTAAGTGCAGTGATTGTGGTTTGCAGCCAAGAGCACCTTCGCATGTTGTCCTGACCACAGCTCCCCACCCACACACACCAGTCTGAGATGATATTCCAAAGTAGTGCTTGCTGTGTACTGCTTTGTTGCAGGTGCCGTACATCAGAGGAGATACTGAACCCATCTGGCTGTTCCGATGGATGTTAAAGATCCCACGGCTGTATCTCTTACACTGTCCTGGCCAAAAATCGCACCCCCCACCCCACCCGACCCCGGGGTAAAATTGGGTCATTCGCTTCATAGCTGTTTACGCGTAATATTACCGTGCGCAAATTGGTTGCAAAATACAGTCACTACACTTAACAGTCTCCTTAAATCTTGAATCTCCTTAAGTGCTTCCAGGCGCCATTCGGAGGCGAAAGAAGCTGCATGGAATGCAGAATGAATCCAGGAATGACAAAAGCTGCTTGTTGTTCAGGTAACATCAAGGCAAAGGGGCACATCGGGAAGGGCAGTCCATCAACCACCCCCCCACCCACACCCTGCTTCCCCCACCGCCCTCGTCCTCCCCCCCCAACCCCTGATACCCCCACCCCCCTCGTCCTCCCCCCCCACCCCCTGCTACCCTCCTCGTCCTCCCCCCCCACCCCCTGCTACCCTCCTCGTCCTCCCCCCCCACCCCCTGCTACCCTCCTCGTCCTCCCCCCCCACCCCCTGCTACCCCCCTCCAAGAAGTGGGCAGCTCTGTGTCTCTGCTGCGAGGACGATGGCCGGCGGCGGGGGGGTGGGTGGGGGGGGAGGATGGCCGGCGGGGGGGGGGGGGGAGGATGGCCGGGCGGGGGGGGTGTGGGCGGGGGGCGGGTGTGGGTGGGGGGAGGATGGCCGGCGGCGGGGGGTGGGTGGGGGGAGGATGGCCGGCGGCGGGGGGGTGGCTGCCCCCTCTCGCTCACTCCGCCGCCACAGGCCTCGGGAGGGCGACTTCCAGGCGGCAGCAGCTCGGCCACCCGACGCCCCCGCTCTTCGCTCTCATCGCGGCCGGTCGAGGCCTGCAGAGGCGGCCCGGGTCGCCTGTGCCGCCGCGGGTCAGCGCCTCCGGCCCGGCCTCCCGCTGGGGGGCGGTTGCGGTACTCACTGATCTGCTTGTCTCTGACGGACGCCGCCATGTTTGCTCCCCGGCTCAGGGCGACGTTGCCGGGATGACGTGGCGCCTGCGGCTCGCGGCCGCTTCATTACCGTAATGTGGCGAAAAGAGCGACTCCGCAATGTCCTGAACTCGGCTCCACACCCCACACCCCCCACTACACACACACACACACCCCACCACACACACCCCCCCCACTACACACACACACCCCCCACCACACACACACACCCCCCCCCCACACACACCCACATACACACCCCACCACACACACACACACACATACACCCCCCCCCCACACACACACACACACACCCCACTAGACACACACACACACCCCACCACACCCCCCACACACACACACCCCCACTACACACACACACACACACACCCCACTACACACACACCCCCCCCACCACACACACACACCCCCCACCACACACACACACCCCACCACACACACACACCACTACACACCCCACCACACACACCCCCCCCACACACACACCCACATACACACCCCACCACACACACCCCCCCCACACACACACACATACACCCCCCACCACACACACACCCCACCACACACACACCCACATACACCCCCCCCCACCACACACATACACTCCCCCACACCCCCCCCCCACACACCCCACCCCCACATACACACACACACCCCCCACACACACCCCACCACACACACATACACACCCCACCCACCCCCCACATACACATACACCCCACACACACACACACATACACTCCCCACCACACACACCCCCACACACACATCCCCCACCACACACACACACCCCCACACACATCCCCCCACCACACACACATACACCCCCACCCCCACCACACACACATACACCCCCCACCCCCACCACACCCACACCCCCACCACACACATACACCAACCCCCCACACACACACCCCCCCCACCACACACACCCCCCTACACACATACACCAACCCCCCACACACCCACCACCACACACACCCCTCCCCCCCACACACACACATACACCCCCCACCACACACACATACACCCACACACCCCCCCCACCACACCACACATACACCCACACACCCCTCCCCACACATACACCCACACACCCCCCCACCCATACACCCCCCCACCCACCCCCACATACACTCCTACCCCCCACACACGTACACCCCCCACCCCACACACGTGCACACCAGCCACATTCGGGCAGGGAGTCCACTCATTCAGCTCCTGTTAAACCCGCAAGCCGGACAGCAATATCGATGGTGAGCTGCGCGGTTATAGCCGGTGAGACTCCAGCGGTTACCCCCCCATCCAAACGCACACACACTCCCCGGAGACCCGGAGCTTCGGCTCTGGCCAATCTGCGCCTACTACTTTCCTGAATTTGGTAAGCGGCATGCGTCCCTCCAGGGAGAATGCGCATTGCATTCAATCTCTGGGGTTTCCATGTGTAATGGTGGGATGCATGGAATTCTCAGCTTGGTTTGGATACTCTTAAGCGTGGTAATGGGTTTCTGCATGGCAGACACTCAGCTGACCAAAAAAAAGCCTCAAGTAGAGCCCTGCTCCTCCACACCATCACCAGCCAGAACCAACAGTAAGAGCTATAAAATCTCTATTATCCAGCAACTTACAAAGTTGGAATGGGAGCTCGAGCAGGATGGGAAAATCAGCGAGGGTGGGTGCAAGAAAAGAGTCTGAGGTTGGGGCACACAAAACTCTAAACTTCAGAACAGTAACCATAGTAGAATCACTAAGTGGCCTGATAATTTTGATGATACAATACAATATTACATTTGTAAAGCGCCTTTCACGTCAGGAGGATGTCCCAAGGCGCTGAACAGTCAGGGATTAGGATCCACAATGTGAGATTTAGACCGAGAGTTAAGGGAAAGATCTCTTAAGTATTTTCGTCTAAACTGTCCAGCAATGCAATCAAATGTGGGAAGAATGTGTAGACTTTTAGTTGAAAACATCCTACACTCTGGAAATGGCATAGTTAGGTCATCTATAACAGTACGTCATCTATATATATATCAGGTCTAATACCAGATCAAAAAAAGGAGAGAAATCAGTATTGAATTGAATGCACAATTGTATGTTTCACTATGGTGAAACTTGCAGCATTAGATTTCTATGTTCACATTTAAATCTTTCACCTACAATGGAGTTCGCACAATATTCAAAAAATAAAGCTTACCTTTGAATGAGGATTGTCATGAACTTCATGAATCAAATATTAAAAGAATGTATCCTGGGAAATAATCAGTTCTTTCAACAAGTTTATTGTATCAAGTCTGGGAAACAATTAACAATAACCTTGCATTTCTATAGCACCCTTCACGCTAGGTTGCGTCACGGAGCGCTTAATTAAATACCCATCCTAATTATTCAGAATGAATCCAGCTACTACCATTACATAATTCCACACCAAAGATTACAAGAGCAGGTAAAGTTTGAACATAAAACACTTGGAATTCTATTAAATACAATTGGAAAATACTTTTGCTCAATTGAAAAAAAGTTGTTTGAACAATTGCAGTTTATTCGTCACAAAGTATTAACAATCCCATCAGCAAGAGATTCAAATACACAAGATGTCAAGGTCAACATCAAGGACCTACACCCTCAAATATGAAAAAATGTGGGATGCACAAATAATTAAAGTGCATAAATTTGGTTGTGGTACTCTTGAGTATTTCAAACCCAAACCTAGGTTTGTAATACTGGAAATCTCAAAGAACAGCTATTAATGGTAGCCTGGACAGTGCAGTGTAGGGTGACAGTGTAACTTGTGAAAGTGTAATGTATGTAAATAAATCAACTAAGCAGACACATTTTAATAACACAAAAATCTAATATTTATACTGTACTGGCAACTGCTCCAAATCTTGTTTTAATACTGTTTGTTAAATTGTTTTTATTTGTGCTATGAATGAATATCAATAAAGATACTGCATTTGTAACATTTGTTAATATTTATAAATGTTTAACTTTACTCCAAAATAATTTCAGCCTAATAAAAGATAAATCTACAGGGACAGTGAAAGGTAAGATAAGAATATTAGAATGAAGTAGTTATTTTACATGAAACAAATGGAAAAAAAACTAGTAGAAAGGAGCTCCAAAGAAATGCATAAATATAAATCAAAACTACAATTCCTTATCTGAAATGTAAAAAATACAACACAAATGTTGGAAGTCACTGTATTACTGTTAAGCACTTTGGGATGGCCTATTGACATGAAAATAGCTATTTAAATGTAAATTTATATTGTTGTACTTTGGAAAATTTGGTTTCCAAAATTGAGACAATGAATTTAAGTTCATGGTATTTTTTCCTTTTTGCAGTTGCATCCTAACATTGTATTATTCTATATACATACTTTCATATACAGCTGGTGAAATTTTATAAATTGTTGATACATACAGAATGTCATACTTTTTCAAATGACTCTTAAATCAGCTAAGTCAAGGGATTTCCTAAGCAAGTTTAAAATTATGGAATTTTAACCATAAATCACACTGAAAGCAGAAATGCTAAATTCCTTTGGTGGATAAGGCATTTCTGAAGTTTTGAGTTTTCTGTCTCAATTTGTACCAGTCCCTCAATGTGAAGATAGGCAAATCATTCTAGGTGTCTTTCACCCTTTGTGTCTAACCACCTAACAGTTGTAAGAGTACTTCCTACAACAACCTGCACTTATATATCACCCTCCACGCATGGTAGCGTCTCAGAGCGCTTAACAGTTGTGGAGCCTGACTCCGAGCCAGGGAGGGAGTGGGGAGGTGGCCGTAAGCAAGGTCGAAGAGGAAGGTTTTCAGAGGGACTTGAAAAAGGGGAGAGAGGGAAAGGCGGAGAGATTGAGAATGCTCCAGAGTTTCGGGGCATACTGGCTGAAAGCACGACCTCTGATAAGATGTGGGTACGGAGTTTGGTCCGGGTAAGTATGTGGGCAGCAGAGTTCTGAATGAGCTGCATCCTTCATTCAGAGCTGGGGAGACTGGTCAGGAGTGCATTTGAGTAATCCAGATAGAAGGTGACAAACGCATGCACCAGGGTTTCGGCTACATTTGGGATAAGATACGGTCAGAGGCGGACAATGTGGCGGAGATTGAAGAAAGTGGTCCTGGTCAGGGACCGGATGTTGGGGAGGAAGGACAGCTGGGGGTCGAACCGGATGCCTAGATTGCATACTGCTTCGGTGAATGTGAGGGAGAGCCCGGGAATGCTACATTCGCTCTCTTCCTCTGATTGGCACCACACTGACTGTGCAGCTAAGACACTTTATATGAGAGAAATCACAGTGAAAACCCATTTCTTCACAAGTCTGCGACACAATCAACCAATATATTTCTCCTCTGGCCCTTTCTAAACAGTATTCATTCACCCATTCTTTGTACATGTCTGGAATTATTTCTAATTTCAGGGTATTGCTAAATTAAACTACATCCACCCTAAAAAATCTAGAACTAATGTTCTAATCCCCAATTTCTTTTGGCACAACATAATCCATAAATGTGAAGAACATTACAATATCATTGTAGGTGATATGTTCAACTCTGCTATTAAGAAGCAACCCAGAAAAAAAACTTTTCTCAATTAGTCTCTATCTGGTATATGTGTATTACAGATTGCAAAATCCATGGATTCTTTAAATGCTTTATAAGTTTTCGACATTGGTAATTTCAAACAATTTTGTCGCATCTGTGCAGTAGGAAATCTGTATTGTATTTTACCATCAGCATGCATAAATTCAATTGTGGGATTAGGATGAAAGCTGATGGATGGAACAGCATTATCACCAGTTGCAAAAGTCAAGATTTCCTCAAAAGAAGCGGCAGCTTTTCCACCTGTCAAGAGAAAACGAGAAATAAATTACTTGATAATAACGGTATCTTTCTTGTATCCATTTGTTCAACCTTCACACACAATAAACTGTTACCACAGTTGGAACATTCAGAATTAAATGCAGTGGATTTTTTAAAAAAATTCAGAAATGTTAAGAATGCTTCCTTGTGCTATTTGAACAGATGCAGCTTATCAGTTATGAACTATTGACAGTCACTCCCATCAGAAAATCCAATGACTGAGATTTTAAGAACCAATAACAAAAAACAGTACACTTAAGACTTAAAGAATCAGCCATTATTGCCTGCTACCTTGTGCTCACACACTCCATTTGAAGTGCTGCCTTACATAAGTAAAGCATATCGATTAGCAAAGATCTTTAAAGGTGCACAGTATATGCAATTTGTCTGTTGGGTCAAACTCTGCTATGATTTAAAAGGTTGAGCTCATGATTAAACCAAATTCATTCAGATCCAAAAACACGAGCTACCATTATTCCCACTCAAGTCACAGAACTTGAAAGATGCCAGAGATGAACATAACTTCAGCTGTACAGAATGGACTTGGTAAGTTATTCAAAGCCAGGTGCCATAAATGTAAACCAAAACGAGTTTCAAGCTTACCTTCGATCTCTCCTAGGTATTCCTTCCAGAAGCGGATTATTCTAGATTCTTGATTGTTTCTGTTCTTTTTATCCTGTGAATACTTGATAGAGAAAAGTTTCTCAAATATCTCTGATGTTAACTTCTTAGGTCTGTGGCAAAACAGCTCCACGAATGCCTCTGGGTACTTTTGAATATTTTCCAACACACCAAGAAACTTCAATCCTTCACGAAACCTAGAAGTATACGAAACAGAATTCTAAGACTTAGATATACTTTTGACCTGAGGAAGTTTTACAGCCGACGATAGTACAACAGTCTCGTTATAACACTGTTGTTGGGAACCCCAACCTGCACTATTGCAAGGTTGCAATAGTCGGTTTCACTGGGTACTAGTGGCCAGCACTTCCTACATACCATCCTATTCCTGCGTTAAAAAATGGCTAATTTCTGGGTGATCGTATCACTACCAAAATAATAATAAATAATAATAATCCTTGCATTTGATATAAATCATTTCCCGTGTGCTGTACATATGCAGGCAGAGACTTAATGACCTGAAAATGTTCTATTTTAGCACGTGGAAAGTGAGTGGGGCCAGCAATACGCATATGCAGAGAAGCAGTTCATCTGACCCTCTACTCCCTCTATTCACTTGTAACAGACATACTCCAAGAGGAAAGCCATCATTCAAGGATATCCCCAACATGCAAGCTGAGAATCTTAGATGGCTTTCAGCTTCACTGGATAGTTAAAAGAAGTGTGGAAAACAGACCCAATAGTAATTTTAACATTTTTATAGAATTCTGCACAATTCTCCATTTTAAGGCATTATTGTTAAGGTTAAGACAATAAATAATTTTAAGCCTCAGTTGACCACTACTTCAAGCTGAGTTTGATTGTCCTGATTTATATTAAAACATCAAAGTATGATTTATACATTTGCATTCTCCAAAGCATACTTAAAATCCAGGATGGAGTTTTTTTTAAATCAAAAAAAACTTTTGATCACCAGGTGTCTGAAAACAAGTATAGCAGTGTTTACTTCAGATTAGATATTCAGAAAACAATGGAGGATTGACATGAAAACATGCACTTAATGCAAGTAAGGTATTATTACAAAGCAAACCTTTCAAAGGGTGAACGAACTCTATTGATCACATGGAAGGTTAGCATATCCTTCACCAACATTTCCTTGTCACCCAAGGACCATACTGGTCTTAAACATCCAGCAATTGAAAGATAGTCAGCATATTCCTTGACATACATTTTTAACTCTTCCAAAGTTGAAGATCCCTTTATCTGAAAGAATAAACCAAACATTAAAATGAAGATGCACATGGGGGGGGGGGGGGGGGTGGTCTATTAGTATCAGAGGTAGACTGTTAACTCCAAATCTCATAATTTCTAATTTTAGCTTTAAACACAAATTCTAGTGATACTAATCCCACCCTGCTGAATGAGCAACTTGTTAATTGTCTAACATTGCCAGCAAAAACTACTAAATTAATCTACTGCAGATCTAGCTTCCTAGATGCAAAATACATATAGAAGGTAGATGACATTTTTTTGAAGATTCCATATTTCTGGTCAAATTTCAAGAATTACATTTTCAGTTGGATTTGAATTTGTGTGTCAAACAAGTTCGCAAAATTCTAACTCATACAATTCAATTGACGATGAGAGGACATCTCAAAGTGCTAGGCAATGCCAGCTGGTCACACAATCTAACCTAACCACCCAGTCTGCCTGAAGACAGCAACTGTATGTTAAAGGAAATAATGAAGAAAAGCTTATTTACCTTTCCTATCTTTTGTAATAGATCAAAATGTTTTACATCTTCAATGGTTGGTTCAGCCATCTCTGGGCCATAAGCCAGACAATTAAACAAGGTTGTGGATAAAAAGCCTGGAGATCGACCACCATGAACTATTGACATTGCAAACACTCGTCCTGCTTCAAAATACCTGCCCCACCGAAGCGCTGTAGAAGAACACATGAACATAAATAAATTCATGCATATTACTAACACATAAATACATTTGCCTACATGACACTCACACTTTAGGAAACAACACTTTTTGTGAGACTCTTTTGGTGTTTTGAAGCCAATGTATTAAAAGCATGTATTTATTCTAAATGGCTAATAATTTTTTGGATAACTTGTCGAACCAAGCTCCTATTTGCTTTATGATTCAGGTGGTTGATATAGGAACCTCCGGTCACTAAAATTAAACAAACTCTCTGGCCCAAGATTTAGTGAAAATATTGTATATCTGAAAGTGAATCAGATAAGGCCACTTTCCACCATCAGTGCCAGAGCTGCAGGCACAAACAAATAGTTTCATTAGACAGTGTAAATGGTATTGTACAACTTTGTCATATTTTCAACTCTGTTGAAAACGAGTCTGTGACAATTAGATTGAATGGAAAAGGTTGGCATTTAGTAGTAGAGGAAAAATAGACAGCAAGCACTAAAACCCAGGGAATGAATACTCCAAATTTCCTTCAGGCTCATAGTAAGTAATTGTTTTTCACATCACAACTCTGATAAGCATTACTTGAACTTGCTTTAACAATCCCCATCACTTCCTGAATTTTATGGCATTTCAGAGTGTTCTACTGTTATAGTAGTTGAAATCGTATTGCAATAAAAATATCTAACCTCTAGAATCTAGATTCAAGTTCTTGGATGTAGCAGAACCTTCAAACAAGGTTGAATTCTGAAGGTTGTGCAACAGCAAACTAAAAAATTCATTACAGGGATTTTCAAGATCATCAACCTCCCTTTGCCTGTCATGATCTAAAAACTTGACACAAATTGTACTGGCAGGATTCAAGTCTTTGTATCGGATCTTCTTCAGATACCCATCCCAGATGTTGTTCTTGTCAACATTGAATGTTGTGATGATTTTTAGATTGATTTGTGATCGCAAGTCTTCTAAAATATCTGCAATTGGTCTTGTTGCAAACATCTGCCTGTAGGTTGAAGAGGAAATTGAACATTGNTTTTTTTTAAATCAATGGAAAATACTGCGTAATACATCATATTCTATTTCATAGCTAAAACACTTTATGGTTTTACAATTTTTGTAATAGGGCAGTTCCAGTAAATAATGAGAGGAAACAGTATGAAGCACAGTAAATACAGGAAAGAATTGCTTCAATGTTCTCCCTATTTTTCTGTAAGTGTTAACTCTTTGCTGGGTAGTTCCACGAGTTCTGGCTACTTGATACCTTGCACAATTCTTCATTTGCCAATCTGGATACTGAGTGTTAGCAGGCTCTCAAGAACATCACAGTCAAACAATCCAACAACCACATACATGCACTTTACAGCAGGATTATACAAGATGAGATCAACAGAAGGGTTGATTTTCACTTGCCTACCTAGGGACACAAGCAAATTATGATGCCCAACTGCAGCTCTGCGATTGAATGAGGAAGACGCTCGTAGGAAGTGGGAAGGTGGCATGTGAAAAAGGAATCAGAGAGGGATACCAAAGTTCCATCTCTAGGCCAGTACTACATACATTTTAACTATGGGAATCTCCTTGAAAGCCTGTTGACGTGTGATGGGTATTACATAAAAGTTTGCACTAAAAATCACAGCAGGGACCAGATTTTGACATTTTACCCATCTTAACGGTTTCTGTCCAGTTGGGACTACAGAACAGCATAATTCCAAAGCATGTGGTCACCTCTTTCTCCCTTGCTCGGTATCCAATCTTGCCACTATACAGCACTGAGATGCTATCTTGTTTAAATGGTGCTATATAAATGAGTTGTTGTTCTAGTGGTCTGCATTTCATTTTACTTTCCCTTTCAACTGCTTTATATTCAACCACCCCCCTGATTAACCTACTTATGTACAATGAGGCAATGTGAAAAAAACAATAGATATGAAGGATGTTGGAATTCTAAGACAGTTAAACTCATTTTTCAAATCTTTATTTTAGAGCATAGGTGCAGATTTTAAGAATTTACGTGGGTAGCAGTTTTCTTCACATTCTGTAGATAACATAGCAGCTTTCAACCAATTCTGTAGACAACTTGAAATAAGCAGAATTCAGCTGAATCTAGACAATTTTGTATCCACCCTGAAGTCTCACTGATTTGGGGGGCACAACAGACGAATCTGTCTTGTTCCTTCTCCTAAGGTAAATTGGGGCAAATAAAAATAAATTAAATTGTTGATAAGTACAAGATCACAAGAGAGGCTCCAATGACAACTAATTTGATCTTATTTTTTTAGAATAATTACCCTTCTTTCCTATAATAGCATCAGGCTTTTTTTTTTGAAATGAGCCTCAACCACCCTTTCTGTTGCAGAAATACTTTCTGATATTTTCTAAAAATTGCCCTTCATAACCCTGAATCCTGTCCTGCTGCCTTGATAAGTCTGAAATCACTTTTTTCACAATTCTAGTAAGCACTGTGTGTAGGTAGACTCCACTAAGTGGCAAGGCCGAGAAAAAAATCAGACCCCACGTTTAAGTGTATTATAAATACAGCCACCAGCATTCAGCGTTTTCCATTGTCAAGTGACTGTTGACTTCATCACACCATGTATGTATACAGTGAAGTCAGGTGGTCAACTGCGGCTGTTGTTGCAAGCATTTCCAACTATGGTTGGGATGGCACTGATGCCACGAAGCTTTTTGTGCCCGTGTTCTATTTGTTGAAAAATGGTGAGTCGTCACCATAAGCCAGGTGTACTGCACTTTTGGGATATTGCGGGTCCATGGAATAACTATTCTATGTGGACGAGGTTTACACCAAAATCTTCAGCAGGGTTGAAGTTTAAAGAGTTCAATAATCAAACTTTCAAGATAACCATTTAAGTTTTGTGACACAAAACATCTACAAGCTTAGCTTGAATTTTGTTGACAAAAATCAGCACTGACCGATTTCTAGTTTCTTTCTGAGTTTCACTGGATAATCTAGGACATTTAGGAGAAGAATGCACGGATTCATGATGGCCTGTACGTTTGCGGTTACTCGACTTAGTTATTACTGAACGAAGTCTTTCCTTCATTTTTTCTGCGAAAAAAAATCCACAAATAAATTAATATTTTTAGGGGTTCTACAAATACAGGAGTTGTACACGAAAACTACAAGATGGTAAATGGAATCATGCATTTATAGTAAAAAAAAGCAAGATATGGAATTAGAGATCAGTTAGATCTGTAATTTGAAAAATGCAAGTGTTGAACGGGTCTTGTTCTTTCTTACTCCACCTAATTTAGAGACATAGGCTCGCCCAACTTATGTTCTAAAATCCTTTGAAATTTACTGAAAGAATTAAATAATCATTGTACAGTATCCATGGATAGTTCACATTGTGTAAAATCTGTAGGAGTAGATTGTAAAATACCAAATTGCTTTTTCTACTTATTGTGTTGCAACAATAACTCATCTGAAACTTCAAAAACACCGTTTTATTAAAATAGAAAAAATTATTACGAGTCATAATTTATAAATGCTAAATATTTCCAAAATAACATACCTGATTTGTGTACAATCGCTCTACACTCAGGACACTCCCAGTCTTGCAAACATCTCACTAAAGTTGAACAGGCCAGATGGGTTCCACTAGAGCCACAGTACTTGCAAAGTACAATGTCCCATTTACTGAAACAAAATATTTCATTGCAATAAATTACTTCTTGCTACTGCAACCAACACACATTTCATTGTTTAAAGAAACCCTCAGTTATTTGCCCAAATAAATTGAAAAGTAGCAACAGAGGTCCATTTACATTAATTAGTGGCATTACACACAATCAAATTATCCATGGGTAAAGGGGGTTTGACAATTTAAGTGATGCCCAAAACTTAAAAATGTAATTCATGACAAATCTAATTTTAGCCTCAATTTAAACTTTCAGGATGTTATATTAAACACCGGGTGGGTGATAATCTGCCTCACAGTAAATTTAGAACCTGTTCCAACATTACAAAGGAGTGAAATATAGGAGTGAACCTGCAAATTATAAATCAATGATTGCAATATCCTTAGTTGGGAAAATGTAACAGCATTATTGATAATTATGTCCATTGGTTCCTTAAAATACCTTCACTACCCAACACAACTACAGAGTTACACCTGCTAAGGTCGAGCTTGAGCAAGACAATTGAGTTAACTTGTCATCTTGTTAATAATAGGTTGAGCAAGACGATTGCGTTAACTTGTCATCTTGTCAGATGGAAAAATGACTACCACGAGTTTGGCTCGCTCTCCTGTGTTTGAGCATTTATCTCTCGGTTTCTGTGAGTGTGTGTTTCTCGACGCATCTGTCTCTCTTTCTGTGAGTGTGTGTCTCTCTCTTTCTGTGAGTGTGTGTCTCTGTATCTGTGTGTGGTGATGGACCCCAAGAGGCAGTAGGTGGTGACCTCCTAGAACCCCTGAATCAGGACCAATTTTCTAATAGCCCTGGTCATAACACAGGCTTGAATTTTACAGTATTTAACTAAATTTTACAGATACCCTCAGTCCAAGCACTGATAATTAGTGAACCAAAAATAGATTTTAACCCTGCACAGCTTAGTGTTAAGAAACATGAATCCTATTGCATTGATATGGGAAGGCTTAATACATCAATAGAATAGTAAAACAGGTTTATCAACATTGTTTTATGTACCATATACTGTGCACTGTATTACTTTAGTACATTATAATCCCTCCAAAAAACCAAAAACAATAATTAAATTGGTCATTTTCAATCCACGATTGTTTGTGGGACATTGCTGTGCGCAATTGGCTGCCGCGTTCGCCCACAAATATACAGTCAATTCACTTTAGTGTGTTCTGTGAAGCGCTTTGGGATGTCCTCCTGACATGAAAAGCGCTATATCAAATGCAAGGATTATTATTATTATTATTCTAAATGAATTTTTTGAACACTACTTCCACACATCCAAAATACTTTGGCCAGAAGTATTTTGAATATAAAGTAATTTGGGGACAAAAAGAATATCATAGAATGTTAAAGCACCAATATGGGCCATTTAGTCCATCTAGTTTTTGAGTCTGGTGTTTTTCCCTTGTTCAATAAGAATAACTAATTTAAACTGTAAAATGATGAGAGTCTTTACCCTTCAGTTTCAGCATATTCTCTTCCATTTTTGCACAAGCATTTTCTCACATCACATCTCTGGTAACGCTGCAGTAGCTCCTGATATGCATTCTCTTCAAGTTCCCAAGATGCATCTCTGTGTAGAAAAAACACAGTATACAATAAGGAACAGCAGTTCTACAATTTGGGTTCCATTAAAAAAGGAACACTCAAAATTCACAGCTAAGGCACCAGCGGCCATTTTATGAATGGAATAAATCTTGTATTCCTCCAAATCCCAATTTGGTTGCAGTTAATACATCTCCATCCTTTATTTAGTGAATCAAACTCTGAAACTTTTCATTGGCAAGTGTATACATACTTTTCTGGGACATGGATCCCCATTCGCAACATCTCTTGCTGGAATTCATCCTTATTACTACAAATAGTGCACCTGAAGAAGAACATCCCAGCACTCAATGCTTGATACTACAGAAAGGAAAGAAAACAAAATCACATATTGGCCAATCAAACAATCTCCTCCCTGAGACACCAGCTATGGATAAAAGATTGGAAAGCTGAATTTGATCAAATTCACTCCAAAGTAGTAGACAGGAGACTTCCAACATTGACCTAATGAGGATTTTTACCATCACGACTCTTCTTGATGGGATATGCCCTTCAGCAACACTGAGTTTGTGGTCCTTGTTATAAGACTACTACCACTGAAATGGAGCATTCTGTAAACTGCTCCTTGAATAAACCTTTAAACTGCTGTACATTAAAACACATACCATTTGACACATGGTTCCATCACAATCTGCTAACATACTAATATTTTGCATTGGAATGTTCATGCAGTTTTCAGTGCAAATAAATACTGCTCTCTCCCAAATCAATTTTTTTTAAATTCAAAATTCTTTACTTGCTTAGTCCTTACTTGATAAATGATTGTATTCCTATGTTACTGCTTCAGTGTCATAAGCAATCCAGCTAGGTAAATTGCCATTTGTTCTTAGCCTGCTTCAGTATGTCTTTTTCAATCAGTTCTTTAGAAAATACTACCACAGCATGCAACAATATTAGCCTATCATTAAAAAACAGACACCTGAACCTAACCAATAAGCACTAATAATTCAACATGTTCACGAGTAACAATAATCATTCTTTAAAAGTGAGATGGTACACTTTTGATTCAACGTTTTTTAAAATCATCAATGTTGACAGTATACCCTGCATCACCCATCTAAAAATTAAAATTACCGATAATAGCACCTTGCAATCTAATTTTGACCTGTTAATTTTAAACTTCACTCACCTGAACACATTGTCTGTGAAGCCATGTATTTTTACAGCAGGGACTCTTTAGAACATCATAGGATGGAAGTGTATCAATGGATTCCAAACAGACAGCACATGCATGTGAACTATTTGCCCATTTTGCTGCAGGTGGCACTTTTTGGACAGGTTTGTGTTCCCAACAGTAAGACCTGGAGAGCAAAAGTCAATCCATCCTTTTACAAAACAAATTCAGTCAAATTTTACAATATATTATATACACAAAGAAACAAAAATGTGAAAATAAAAGATGTATCTTAACAATCAAGTTGCCAGCTTGATTGATTTGACCACCCTGCATTATGGTATTACCATTTAAATTAGTTAGAATTTACAGATTTAAAAAAAAACTGATTTGCAAGTCAGTCAAACATTTTCACAGTGAACATAAACTAACTGTAATTTTGGATTCTACGTGTGCAACTGTCAATCTGTGAGAAGTGAAAATTATATTTCACACCATGGCCGGAACTTACAAGATTGTAATTCCACTCCAAAGGGGTTCCAAAGATAAATTTCAAAAATCACACCCCAGTAGCACAACTACCAGAGTACAACCGAAAATTAGTGTTGCAACAATCTACTGCTACAATCCTGTTGCATTCAACTTCTTGCAGCAGGCCTTAAATGTTGCTCTAAATCAATTAAATAGAGTAGAGATGTGTATTGTGAATTTAACCAGCTAAAACAATACAGCTTATCATTGGAGAGGACGGTTGTAGCTTGTCCAGCTCGGAGCATACTACCAGTTACAGATTGGGCTAGCAGGTTTGTCTGGAGTAGAGTGTGAAGAATTAAAGCCATAGCCCTTAGGGATTGATCGCTCCAAGTTCTAGTCATAAGTCAACCTGGCTGATCCACAATCAACAATGCCCTTGAGAACTGCTGACCAACAAGTATAGGATTGCAAAGAGTGCCTCGGAAAATGTTCTATTGCATGCATTATCACCATGGAACTAACTCAGCCTAACAGAAATGCAACTTACCTTTCCTACAAAGAGGGTAGTTACTAGTTGATCATTAGGCATTCAAATAAATGTAGGTTTTGCTAATCAATTTCAATGTCAAAAGATATTTTTATTTATCTGTTAGTGCTTTGATATGTGATACAAGTAGAATGGGGAGTGAGTTGTAGGCACAATTCCAATCATGCAAGAGACAAAACTCACAAGCATTGAGGGATCATTCTATCATATTAAAGAACTGCCCTAATTTACCCTTATTGAATTTCCAATAAATACAGGAAACGTAACACTCTTCTGATAACTAGTCCTCTGAAAACATATTGAACAAACTTACGCAAACTGTCCTGTAAATTGGAAAATGCATTGCTTCGCCACACCACAAGGAAAATGAAAGCTCTTCCGACATTTTGCAACAGTGCAGCCTATTGACGCTCCACGTTTCCTGCAAACATTGCAAGTCTAAAAAAGGAACTAGATGTTATGTCAGCATTTAACTTCTAGTTAGAACACACTAAATGATAACATTTCAAAGTACATAAAATGTACTTTGAAATGTACATGGGATGTACTGAGTTCCAAATGGCTTCCTTATCAAGTTTACTAGCTCCAAACATGTCATGCTCCAAAATATGTGTCATTACAATTTGCTTGCTTTAAATAACACACATCTAGGTTGAGTCAGTACAAATTAACTCAATTCTTAATATCTTAGGTGTGCTGTGAGTTAATTTTCCTGCTGAAAACGATGAAAAAAATGGAACTTACAGGATCTCTCACAAATGCTAAATGTCTGTTGCTTTTATACTGCTGGAAGCAATGAGACTTCACCTCCAGCACTGGGGTGGAAAACCAGGTTTTGGAAACTTACACCCTATTGCATAATAATAATCCTTGCATTTGATATAGCGCTTGATCATTCTTCGAGACGTCTCAGAGTGCTTCACAGAATATAATGGAGAGTGAATTGACTATATGTCTTGTGGGCAAAATGCCACAGCCAATTGCACATAGCAGTGTCCCACCGACAATCATGGATCAGGTGAGCATTTTTTTTATTTTTGAAGGGATTATTACTCCTGGAAATGCGATCTGCCAAACAACTAACAACCGGGTTCCTACTTACTGTTTGGTAAACAGAGGCACGTGGAGCCAGGAAACTTGCTTAATGCTTCGTACTGCCGGGGAATCTAACCCAGGTCCTCTCGCTTGCAAGGCAAGTGCTCTAACTAGTACAATACAGGACTCCACTTATAATCATACTTGCTCCGATAGTTTAAAAATGAACATTTGGAAAAGTTAAAAAAATGATAACCTGTCAAATCTTTTGTATTTGAATCTTTTTTAAGACTATTACACTCCGATCGAGATCTAATTCCAGATGTTCCAGCAACACATTTTGTAATGCCAACAGAAGAAGACCGGATACAGTGTTTAGCATGTTGCTAAAACTGACATTCTACAGGACTCCAAATTGCTTTTAATGATTGTGCATTATTTATACTGAGTGGGGGAGAAAGTGTAGCGTAAACGCGAGAACATTTTGAAACTAACGTATGATTTTTCATTCTTAAACACAGTAACACTGAATTTACAGGATGGTGGCTGGAGCTCAATTACTCCCTCCAGAGGAGTTTCAGGTAACTGCACCACAGCCACATATGCTTGTGGGGAGAAACAGATAATGTTTGATAATGTACAGAACAACACATTATACACGAAAGTTTCTCTGCACAGCTCAACAACTTACTTCAACTTGAATCTTTCGAAGGACAAAAGGTTAATTTTTCTGCACCAAACATCGTTGCATTTGCTTAGAGAGGTAACCAAATTATGGGCCAATTTGTGCTATGGAATCATGTTACCAGAGCTGAAAACTTCTAACTCATGTGAACTCTGGTCTCATTGTACTTATTTTAATGATTGAAGTCAACCACAAAATACAACATTTACAGAAACAAGACTTCTAATGTTTTCTGAGCATAGGTACAATAAAATGGCACTACAAGACAATGATGGAAAATCAGAAAACATTTAACAATGCAATCAATGTTGCAGAGACCTACGCAATGAATCTCACACAGCAATGAATTAGTTTCTTTTTGTGAAACATCTTTACATATGTGAGTTAAAGTAATAACAAAGAGTTAAAAAGCAGTGCATTTTACATACAATTTTTGTAGCTCTATGAAGCTCCTTTTTGATATCCACGGGAAGAAATCCATAGATTCCTTCATTTTCCTTTCCACGTTGATACAAACCACTTGACATAATCTGCAACAGTTTTTTTATTTAAATGAGTTAGCAAACCTGTACAATACACTCAGTACTAAATTAAGCGCCTTATTTGGAACATTTCACATTGCCCCTTGTCAAGCAGATTAAACTTGTACATTTTTAACCAATTTATATTGTGTAAGTGGAATGACATCAGTTCCAATTGTTGGTGATTAGAAGTGGGGAGCTACTTCATACCAAGAATTGCTTTAAACAGAGAGCTTGGTCAACCTCCCTTGCTGGACCTTGATTGTCTGAAGCCATGAAAATTCACTGCCTTAAAGTAATAATAATCATCCTTGCATTTGATATAGCGCCTTATCACGTCTGTTTTAAAGCGCTTCACAGAATATACCGTAAAGTGAATTGACTGTATATTTTGTGGGTGAAACTTGGCAGCCAATTGCGCATTCAATTCCAGGCAGAGGGCGAAACCTTGGGCAAGTTTCCTTACTCCACACGCCTAATAATAATCCCTCCAAAACCAAAAACAATAATAAAATTGGTCATTTTCAATCTACGACTGTTTGTAGGACATTGCTGTGCGCAATTGGCTGCCGCGTTCGCCCCCCATTTTTACAGTCAATTCACTTTACAGTGTGTTCTGTGAAGCGCTTTGGGACGTCCTTCCGACGTGAAAAGCGCTATATCAAATGCAAGGATTATTATTATAATAGCAGAGTCCCACAAACAGTGATGGATTGAATGACCATTTTATCATTTTTTTTAAGGAAAAGCAATCCGCCAATCGACTGATAACCAGGTTGCTAATTACTGCTAGGTAAACAGAGGAATGTGGAGTAGGAAAACTGTTACGCCCTGCCTCAAGTCGAACCTGGGTCTCTCGCTTGCGAGGCGAGTGGTCTAACAACTGAGTCCAAATTCCTGCACTCAATTCAAATCATCCTACCCATGACCAACACAGCCTTGATGTACACTGAGTCTTGCATTACACTCTATATGTCTGTATTTACAATATAATTTAGAACTCAGTACGTACTCTGATAAGACCTAAAACAGAAAATGTTAATTAAACAAAATATTCCTGAACGATGAGCAACCTTATAACTGCTTCATTATTATTCTGCATCTTTGTTACTTTTATGCAGCAATTACTAGTGTGGTTTATAAACCAACAGCTGTAGAGAATAGTTGTACTGTATGCTCACACTGTGTTTGTGTGTGTCTTTCTTGGTCTGACTGGAGTGCATACATGTCGTGTCGATATTGCTCCATCATTGGAACCCTGTTGTGGAAATCTGTTACAATTTGTCGAACTTCAGGAAGTGTGTGAAACCAATTGACAGCAACAATCTGCTGCTGTGAGCACAGCATCTAAATAAACCAGATTGACTTTTAAAGAGTCATCAAAATGAACTCATTATCATGGAACAAACCAATGTGACACAATGAGTTTGGAAGAAAGCACTGTGACAACAGCAGCTAAGAAAAAAAACGAGCACAACAGCAATTATGTCTTTTGCCAATGGAATACTATAAAATGCATTATTTTCGCAGTCCGTTTAAAGTTGTTATATTTACATGACTCACTAATCTACAAATTTAAATTCACAAATTCACCACTCTCTGCGCAAAGTAGTTAAATCTAAGCTGTGTTGTTCTTCCCGGTTCTAAGATTGAGTTTGTACTCCATTACAGTTTGTGAAAATATTAACAACAACAAAATTACATTTGTATAGCATCTTTCACGTCGGGAGGACGTCCCAACGTGCTGGATAGGCAGAGCTATGGACCCGAGCTGGGGGTCCGGATGGAGATGGGTGGAGGGTGGGGGGGGGGGAAGCAGAGAGATCGAAAGCACGGTCGAAGAGGAGGGTCTTGAGGTGGGTCTTAAAGGTGGCGAAGGAGGGAGCGAGGAGGAGGGACTGTGGGATGGAGTTCCAGAGAGTGGGGCAGAGTGCGGAAGGCATGCCCGCCAATAATGGGGCGAGCAAAGCGGGGGATGTGAAGCAGGCTGGATGGAGCCCACTGAGCGGAGGGAGCGAGTGGAATGGTAGGGGGTTAGGAGGTTGCAGAGGTAGGGGGGAGCAAGACCATGGAGGGCTTTGAAGGTGAGGTCCTGAATCTTGAACTGTATCCTCTGTGTGATGGGAAGCCAGTGGAGTTGGGCAAGGATGGAGGTGATAGGGTCACGGAGCTGAGTGCGGGAGAGGACACGGGCTGCAGAGTTCTGGATGATGGATATAAAATTAACATGCTATTAGGGCTCAGTTTATCTAAACACTTTAGGATTGTGAATATTTTAAGACCTCCCAAAATCTTTCGTTCAGTGTAAACATTTCCAGATTCTCAGCTCAGGTTTCCAATTCCAGCTACGAATTTAGTTGCAGTTTGTCAGTTCCACTCTGATTCTAAAATATCTTGACTTAAAACACAGTACTCCTTATAGAGATAGATAAATGCTTTGTACAAGTTCATGCCTATGATTTTGATGTGTCCCTTCAGCTAAATGCCTCAATGTATTATTTGCAATATTCATTGCTACTACACACTGCACTCATGGTTACAACCTATCCGCAAGTACAATCAAATCTCTTGCCTGTGCTGTGTAATCTGGACTATACTCACGTTAATTTATATCCCCAGTTTCCCAACCTCATCATTCTGCATTACCTTCACGGCCTAGCACCTCCCCATCTCTCTGATCTGCTTGTGCCCACTTCTCTGCTCACTGCCTCCTCACCATCACTGGGGGTTGAGCCTTCAGTTATCTTGCCCCAATTGTGGAACTCCCTGCCTCTGCTTGCCCTCCACCCCATCTATCCTTAAATCCCACCTTGAAATCAACTTCAATCATATCTGTGGTCACTTCCTACCCCCTCCTTGTGCAGTGTCCAACCCTGCCACTGTGAAGTGTTGAGATTTATCCCATCCTGTGTGCAAGTTTACTTAAATTATCTCATCAACCAAGGATCAAGGCAGACTATTTGAATAAGCAGAACTTGGGTACAGTAGGCACTTAGGGTCAACAAAATATCACTAGCATGGACATATAAAAACTTGTATGCATCAAGAAAGAGAAAAAAACATTATTTCCAGAATATTGCCAATACTTTCTTACTTTCTCCTGGTTTTCACCAACTTTTATTTTTCACTCTATTTACTGAAATAAACGTGGTTTGAAACTTACCAAACAATAATAATGAAGAGTAATTCCGCAATCATAAGTTTCCTTCTTGCCATATTTTTCTGGGCAATCATCATTCCGTCGGCAAAATGCGCAAGCTGCAAGACCAAAAACAATATGCATGGATTTGGAACAAAAGCGTGCACGCTCACGTTTCCTCAGTGACATAGCCCTGGGTGTCGTGAGTTCCATAGCATCAGAGAAAACACACTTCATCAATCCCCCACTGACACCATCTTAAAAGACCAGATACAGAAATGGTAATGAAAGGGTCAAATGCATTCTCGCATCAAGATAATACACTTAACCCACATAGTGAGAATGACCTAGAAGTCAGCAAGAATGCATAAAATTCATTAGCTGAAAAATAGTTTAGGAATGAAACAGTTGGCAATAATCCCTAAAACAACTTTCAAAATCACTGTAAAATGTGAATGCATCACAACCTTCACACCAACAAGTTTAGCTTGGCTTCTTTCTTGTTTTTCCCCCAAGCTATACACAATTCAAAAAAGTAAATAAATATATCTATTTTTTGACTGCACTTATTATTATTATTTTTATTAATAATAAACCTTGCATTTGAAATAGCACCTTATCACATCTTTGAGATGCCTCAAAGCGCTTCATAGAATATACTGTAAAGTGAATTGACTGTATACTTTGTGGGCAAAACGCAGCAGCCAATTGCGCACAGCCGTATCCCACAAACAATCGTGGATTGAGTGATCAAATTATTATTATTTATTTTGAAGAAATTATTACCCCCGGAAAAGCAATCCACCAATCGACTAACAACACAGGGTTCCTACTTACTGCTAGGTCTTGCCCCTCCCGATCCCCCTTGGCTCCCACCCAGCATAGTCAAGTGCTTGGAGACATCCTCCCGATGTGAAAGATGTTGTACATTCTATCGTACAACATTTCACTAGTAAATTTGTTGATTTTTTTTGTCAGCATCATTGTTTATAAGATATGGTTGATTTGTTACTGGAACCTGCTTCTGTAGAAATGCATTTCACACTTATTTATAAGTATGCATATTTGTATGTTTTGCCATAGAGCAAGAGACCAACCTTTTATATAAAAAGGACAGGAATACTTACGAGGATTCTCATTCTGGTGAGGCATCTTGTTCACTTCTCACGGCAAACTGAAGCAATTGTGGTGATCAGATTTTACAGCTTCCTAGAATGGAGTACATAACATCATTTAACTACATAGTAACAGAGTAAGATTAATGTTCAGATACATTTTATGTGCCGAGTAAGTGAAATTCAGTTGCCATTTTCCAGTCCGTGCTCAGATTTCAGTGATGTCTGTTACCTTGTATGCATTACATAACCAGCTTGGTTTAACAAATTGGTGACCAGACAAGAGTACCACAATGCTACTTCAACTCTTTCAAAGGATACTCAAAGGAAAGTGCTCAGTGAAACACAAAATACTGCAGATGCTGGAAACCTGAAAACAAAACAACAACTTGGATTTACATAGCATCCTCCACGCCGGACGGCATCTCAGAGCGTTTCACAGTATGAAACGAATCCCGGGGCCAAGCCAGGGGGAGGGGAAGGTGACCAAAGGCACGGTCGAAAAGAAAGGTCTTCAGAAGGGACTTGAAAGTAGGAAGAGAGGGGAGGGGGCGAGGCGAAGGGAGTGAGGAAGGGAATTCCAGAGCCTTGGGGCATGGTGGTTGAAGGCACGGCTGCCGAGGATGGAGCGGAGGACTCGGGGGACGGGGAGGAGGCCAGACCCGGAGGATTGAAGACAATGGGTGCTGTTTTGAGGAGAGAGGTCAGAGAGGTAGGGGGGTGCAGAGGAGTGGAGGGATTTGAATACAAGGGTGAGGATCTTGAAATCAATCCAACGAGGTGTTAATGATGCAGAACAAAGGGTGGGGGAGCAGTTGCGAACCATATTCCAGCTTCTAAAGAAGGAAGATCAAGACTAAGACTTAGATGACTGTCTAAGTCTGTCTAACAACTGTATCGACACTCTCAAACAGGCAAGAGTACAGCAGTACCTGGATACCTTTTGGGTGATCGAACAGGCAAACTGGATACATTTTGGTGGATTAAATTGGACATTAAATTAGACATTACTCCTCCATCTCTTCCGCAACATTCGGTTTGGCCAACCTTAATCGCTGTGAACTGTACATGAATACATAAGCATTATTCTGGTGTACTATTTTAACCATCTACAACCATTATTAATGTGAATTAATAAATATTTTTATATAAGATTTATGTCAATCTTTACTTCACCACAGGGTTAAAATGAACATCTTACAAGAGTAATCGAGTAAGTGGAAAGTCAGGTCATCCCCTTTAAAACGCTCTTCAATCCGTATTTAACCGTAATCCCTTAATAATAATAATCCTTGCATTTGATATAGTGCCTTATCACATCTTCAAGACATCTCAAAGGTCAAAAATACTGTGTGTGTGGGTGTATATATATATAAAACTAAAACACACAAACAGACTGAACATCTGGTTCAAGAAAACTCAGGATTTGAATAATTTATATGTATTCACCCCCAAAATATACAGTCAATTAATTTACAGTATATTCCGTGAAGCGCGTCTGAGACGTCTCGAAAACATTATAAGTCCCTAGATCACATGCAAGGATTAAAATCATTATTTTTCGAATGGGGGGGGGGGGGGGGGGTATGTTCAACCTTAAATCTCGTTACCCATAAAACAAAAAAAGCGGCAGGTTTGTCCCTTACATTACATATCATCCCCTACAGTTAGTTTCACTGTTTTTTTTCCCCAGTCAAATGCAAGGATTATTATTGTTATTTTTATTATTATTATTACAATAATAACAGAGATTTTTAAAATCCTTTTTTTTTGGGGGACGTATAGAAACAGATTTTTTTTCGAAAATAATTGAAAGCCCCGACCTTTTGGAGAAGATCACGAGCCGCACGTAGGCCGCCGCCCGGACACTGGAGAAGCGGGGACCTCCCTCCCTCCCTCCCTCCCGCCCTCTCTCTCTCTCTCTTTCCTCGGCGCCGCCACAACCTCCGAGACGGACAATAATTTCGGGAAAAGCCTCTCTGGTCGGTTACTCACCGCCTCTCTCAAAGTGACCGGCGACGGAACAATGGCCGCCGGTGTATTATTGCTGCCGTTATTACTATTGTTGTTGTGGACCCCCGGGTCTGCCCACGGGGCTCCCTTCTCTCTCCTCCCTTTTCTTTCTTTTTTTCTTTCTCTCTCTCTCAATTTCTTTCTCTTTCCCTCTCTCTCTCTTTCTTTCTTACTTTCTCTCTCCCTCCCTCCCTCCCTCTCTTTCTTTCTTTCTCTCTCTCTGTCTGTCTTTCTTTCTTTCTCTCTCTCTCTCGCTCTCCGTCGCTTTTCTTTTTTCGTGGCTCTTCCTCAACGGCGCTCAGATTCAAATGTGCAACTTCCGGCTCACGGACCGGCGCGAGGCCGGAAGTGATTCCCGAGTCGCTGTGACCCCCTGGAATTGACCCCTCAGCGTGTCCAACTGTCACTGGTGGTGAGGGCGTGGGCGCGAAGACTGTTCTGCTCCTCTTTCTTTCTCTCCGTGTGTGTGTGTGTGTGTCTCTCTCTCTCTCCCTCCCTCTTGGCTGTGCCTTTTTTTTCTCCTTTGATTTAATTTTACGTGGTGGGTGGGTGTGTTGGTGGTGGTGGTGGGGGGGGGGGAATATTCACGGCATCGCCTTAAGACGCGTCATAATAAACCGACAGTGATCTCGGCACCTGCCAACCAACCGCACGTGTTGAGCAATGGCGGGCGGTGCGGTGCGGGCGCCACGTTTACAGTCCCGGGTCAGTTACTCGGAAAGGACTGGCCCGCGGTCGGCACGAGCTTGGGAGCCCCTCCACCTCTCCACGAGGGGGGGAGGGAACCTCACACGAAATAACGTGGCACCGCGGAACAACCGACGGACTGTTCCCTCACCCGCCTCCGCCCAGGCCCTTCCTACTGACTGAAAATCCCGTCACCTTTGCGTTCCCCGGGGAATGAGATGCGCCCTCCACCCCCCAGTTGTTGGGTGGGTGAAATTGGTTCAGTTGTCACCTGTTCACATTCAGTGACACCAACTGCTATTTTCCCCCCTCCCCCTGCAATCCAGGGGGACTCCTGGTTTGATTTCCCTCTGCCCTGATCGCCAGCTCCTCAGTCCTCAACACCTGACTTTTCTTTCTCTGGTTCTTTCCGATTCTGCCCGACACTCAGTTTCCTGCAAATCTCCTGTACTGCATTGCTTCTCTCCTACGAGTCCCCTCCCTCCCCGAACCTGTATGGTGACAACGTTAAGTTAATAATAATAATAATAATAATAATAATAGCAATAGAGATAAGTTGGATAGATGGAGAGAAAGGAAGGTGAACAGGCAAAGCAAATGGAAAACAGCTGAAATGGAAATAAAGAGAAGAAAAAACAAAGATGAACATAAAAGAAAAAAATGTTTTTTGTTGACTGCGAATATTCTGGGTGGAAGCGATAGCATTTTTGTTTATTCCTCTGAACTCAAGAAACCAGGGGTGGCAGTGGGGAGATCTGGTCAGCAGAAATTGGCCAACAAGACAGATGTTTAATATCTCTGGTGGAGGTTCAGGAATTTCTGAAATTATTGGGAGGAAATGTTCACTAGTTTGAAAATAATATAAGGAAATTAGTTCTCCGGGGACAGGATGAGAAGCTTTTAAATCAGTGCTTTGAAGAAGTACACATTAAGTCTGAAAAAGAAAAATAGATTAGATTGGAGAAAAAAAGCCAGAAGAAGAAATATCATGGCTAACAACCCATAGATTGATGGTGAGTCATTATAATGCTCACGAAGACTCATTTAGAGTAGAACTCAATATCATAAGAGGAAGTGAAGTATGAATAATCAGTAATGTTTCAATATTTTGAACAATGAGACAAAGTGCAGAGGCTTTTGTCTTGGCAGTTTAAGAAAGTAAATGACATTTGAAATCATAGGGACAAATAGGACAATGAAATCAAAGCTAAACAAGTGTTGAAGCCAAAGTGTTGATTCTTTCAAACACAGATTAGATAATTTTCTTTTAGGAAATAACATTATGGGATACAGTACAAAGGTAGTTTGGGACACATGTGCATGCGACCATCAGGAAGGTGGAAGGCGAACTAGATATACCTGGTCTTTTTCGTCCAGTATTATTATGTTGGCGAACTAGATATACCTGGTCTTTTTCGTCCAGTATTTCTTATTATGTTCTTATGTAGACTAGAGCACTTTAAGAGTGTTAATAGTAAAGGTTAAAAATCATAATAAATCCAAATGGATTTATTATTTTTAATTATTTAAACTCCACACGCCTAATAATAATCCCTTCAAAAAAACAAAAACAATGATAAATTGGTCATTTTCAATCCACGACTGTTTGTGGGACACTGCTGTGCGCAATTGGCTGCCACGTTTCGCCAACAAATATACAGTCGATTCACTTTACAGCATATTCTGTGAAGCGCTTTGAGACGTTTAGAAGACGTGAAAAGCGCTATATCAAATGCAAGGATTATTATTATTATTTGTTTCTGGAGACTTGAAGATGTTACTTTGTGAACCACAATATCAATAGAGGCGAGGTTTCTTTGACAAAATACCATACCACTAAAAACTTGACAGAATTCCCAAAAGCCATGAGAAATGGACAAGTGCATATGTGGAAGTCCAGACATATATTCATTTTTCCTGTATGCTGAGTAGCAAGTAGCCTTACTGGGATGAAATGTAAATTTAGTTAGATGCATTTGTATGGCTTACAGGGAAAGCTAGAACTGCATGTGTGGGAAAGCTAGAACTACATGTGTGCAAAAGTACATCCAAGGGCAAAATCAAATTTCAGCATTTGGCCATTATCTTCAAATAGCTAATTAGCATAGTGTTATAATGTAAAGCTTGGTGGCCAGCCAAGTAGTAAGTTATAACGAGGGGAGACTGCTGGAAAATATTCGTGGCTGCAGGGCTTTTGGAATGAAAGAGCTTTGCAACACATTTTTCTAAGTACTGTAAAATGAAATTGAATGGATTGAAGTACACAATAAACAACACTGCAAGTTAAAAGATTTATAAACAGCAGAGTGACATTGACATTTAAAGAAATAACAGCAGTTTTTGTAAATCAGCTTTTAATTGATATTACATTAAGCACAAGTTCAGAGATAAGCAGCAGTATGAAGCTTGCATGCTGGGTTTCCTTGCAGAACCAACTCTGGCATACCTACTCCAATTAGTGGAATTACTGCATCACAGTTAGATATAGGTGGGACAAGTCGCAGACGTATACTAAGTAGCACCCTAATTGAAGCAATGATAATCTTTAGAGACTAACTCTTATTCTGGTAAAACAACAACAAAATTACATTTATAGAGCACCTTTCACGTTGGGAGGATGTCCCAAAGTGATGTCGGGGCCCGAGCACGGGGGAGGGGTGGTGTAGGGGTGAGGGAAGGCAGAGGGGTGGGAGGGAGACCAAAGGCACTGTTGAAGAGAAGGGTCTTAAGACCAGCCTTGAAGGATGCAAGGGAGGAAGCGAGGCGAAGAGTGTGGGGGTAGAGAGGCTGAAAGCCTGGCCACCAATGGTAGGGCAGGTTGGCCTATTGAACGGAGGGAACGGGCAGGTTGGTAGGGAGTCAGCAGGTCAATATAGGTGTCAAGTGCTGCCTTAGCTCAGTTGATAACTCTCTGTCTCAGAGTCAGTTAGTTGCAGCTTCGATTTTGGATTTTTTGAAAAAGAGTCTTGACTGACTCCAGTGCAACTTTTGGGGAGCTCAGCGTTGATACAAGTGTTGATGCTGTACTTGATTGAGACTTTAAACCAAAGTCCTCTCTGCCTGTTTTATAGGGACTTTAAATAACCCACAACAATAATAATAATAATAATCCTTGCATTTGATATACTGCTTTTCACGTTTTCTAGACGTCCCAAAGCGCTTCACAGAATATACTGTAAAGTTAATTGACTGTATATTTGTGGGCGAACGCGCCAATTGCGCATAGCAATGTCCCACAAACAGTCGTAGATTGAAAATGACCAATTTATTATTGTTTTTTGTTTTTGGAGGGATTATTATTAGGCTCTGTGTGGAGTAAGGAAACTTGCCCAAGGTTTCGCCCTGCCTGGAATTGAACTCAGGTCTCTCGCTTGCAAAGCGAGTGCTCTAACCACTGAGCTACAGGACACCTCCTTTGGCACAACAGTATTCTAAAAGAGAAGGGATTTCTTCAGCTCCTGGCTAACAATCCTCTAGATAAAATTGGGCATTCACTGCATGCCTGTGGGACATTGCTTTGAGTAAATTGGCTGTTGCATCTGCGGAGAAATATGCAGCCACTATCCTTTTGCAGTTAAATCTTGTAAAGGGTTTTGAGATGTTTTGATGATGTGATGTATCAAATACAACATTTATTATATTTACTGAAGCATTTGTGCTAAAAAGTAAAGTTTTTTTATCCAAATTGCTTAAAATGATAAGAATTGGAAATAGACAACTTAACAAAGGCTTATTAGATCTGAATTTTTGATCCAAATAATGGAAAATAAGAATATCACAATAGAGTGGAGCCTCTTTATATATAAACTGAAGAAAACAGCTTTAAGTCTGTTCCTTACAACTTATGAAAAAAGCACATCAGTTTTGTAACACAATTTGAGAACCTAAGTTTATATAAAATGGTGCTGGGTAATGATTAATATAATTTACTGGGTATTTAAAAACAGGCATTAAAAAGCAAATTACAGACTTGTCTGATCATGGCAAATCTACCTTCTTAAGATTTGGTGCCTGCAGACTGTTTCTTCAAAACTGGCAGAGCCTCAAAGGCAGCAGTTTTGCGATCTTTAGCCTGCTGTGATACAAACTCACTGTTAATACAGCTCCTCCCCACTATTGCCCACCCATTTCTTCAGTGCACAAAATTGCAGCTTGCCATTCACTTGTTTCTGTCTGTCTCTCATCAAACACAATGTTATAGCTCTGAATCTTTCAAGGAGAAAGGAACAGCTGTAGCGTGTAAGATTATATTTGTGATCCTCAATGTTTTTAAGATTTTTAATTAGTAT